TTAAACAGGGCTGAAACAGAGGGGATTATGGGTAATGCTGCAATGATCTGTTTGGTGTTTGGAGCCAAACACTTCAGAGACATGTTTTGTATATAACTGAGAACTATAATATATTGATGACAAAGAGTATAATAGGGGACCTTTAACAATTGAGTACTGCTACTTTAACTTATATACAAGTACTTCTTCCAGCACTGGGACACACGTCACTGCTGTAGCGTCTCGTGTCCTTGAGAGCTCGGCTGTGCAGCGGAGCAACAAAGTGCTTTATTAGCCGTCCCGATAGATCCGGTCCGAGGTAAATTCATGTCCACGGTGAGATCCATAACGTTTGGCCGCGGCTCAAAGGGGGAGGCTCCACCGGGGATCTATCACTGGAGGTGACTGCGTGTCAAATAAAAAAGCAGTGCCGGGTAATTTTACAGCATGAAAGTCAATACAGTCGATACAGGCAATCATCTAAGGGACGCCTCTCACCTTATCTCAAATACTCGCTGGTACAGGACTCAGTATTCACTACAGTGTTGGGAAAAACACTCAGGAAGGAGAGGGATTGGACTTGTCACATGTAGAAGTTAGAAATACAAAAAGGAATTCAAGTTAAAGGAACATTTTGACAAACAGTCTGTTTGAGTTTTTTGGATCACATTTAGTTGAGTTGTTGAAATAAACTGAATATGTAATTGTTTTTTTATCTAAAATGAGTATATGCATTTTATTAAAGAGGCATAAACTAATTCAGCTTGAACTTGGAAGCCATAATCCACCTTCAACTTTTCTGATTTTTTTTTAAACAATTTCTTGACAGGGCGAAGTAACTCCCTGAAGACTCTGCTGGTTCATGGCAAATAAATCTTCGTGCACATAACCGCCTCAACCATATCTATTATAAAAATAAAATATATAATGTGTTAATACGTTTCCAAGCAGACTTTGTTATCTTCCAACCAAGCCAGTCTAAGCGCAATCCTTTTGTTGGTCAAAAATATATCAGAAAAAAGTGATAAATGCCTTTTATAATTTCCCTGTTTGAGAGTTTTTGTATTGTAGTGTTGTTTGATCAAAGCAAATATTATAAAACCCAAAGATAAGTAAGTTTAATATCTAAATAAATAACAAAAGCAGCACAGTCATTTTGGAGAGGGGGTACTGGCAATAATTTAAAAGCAAACTATATACAAATAAAAATATAACAGTAACAAATATATACAAAATACATTTAATATAACAAATGTATTGAAGTCAAAATATTCCATTTAGCATGTAATAGCTAATAGGTTGTAGCTAACAATGTTATTTACACTCGGGTGTCTGTAGCTAACAATGCTATTTACACCCGGGTGTCTGTAGCTAACGATGCTATTTACACCCGGGTGTCTGTAGCTAACAATGCTATTTACTCCCGGGTGTCTGTAGCTAACAATGCTATTTACACCCGGGTGTCCGTAGCTAACAATGCTATTTACACCCAGGTGTCCGTCGCTAACAATGCTATTTACACCCTGGTGTCCGTAGCTAACAATGCTATTTACACCCGGATGGCCGTAGCTAACAATGCTATTTACACCCGGGTGTCCGTAGCTAACGATGCTATTTACACCCGGGTGTCCGTAGCTAACGATGCTATTTACACCCGGGTGTCCGTAGCTAACAATGCTATTTACACCCGGGTGTCCGTAGCTAACAATGCTATTTACACCCGGGTGTCCGTAGCTAACAATGCTATTTACACCCGGGTGTCCGTAGCTAACAATGCTATTTACACCCGGGTGGCCGTAGCTAACAATGCTATTTACACCCGGGTGTCCGTAGCTAACAATGCTATTTACACCCGGGTGTCCGTAGCTAACAATGCTATTTACACCCGGGTGTCCGTAGCTAACAATGCTATTTACACCCGGGTGGCCGTAGCTAACAATGCTATTTACACCCGGGTGTCCGTAGCTAACAATGCTATTTACACCCGGGTGTCCGTAGCTAACAATGCTATTTACACCCAGGTGTCCGTAGCTAACAATGCTATTTACACCCGGGTGGCCGTAGCTAACAATGCTATTTACACCCGGGTGTCCGTAGCTAACAATGCTATTTACACCCGGGTGTCCGTAGCTAACAATGCTATTTACACCCAGGTGTCCGTAGCTAACAATGCTATTTACACCCGGGTGTCCGTGGCTAACAATGCTATTTACACCCGGGTGGCCGTAGCTAACAATGCTGTTTATGAAATGTTTTTCTCATCTGAAAACTCAAGATTTGACTCTTATCGCTGCAAAAAAGTTTTGAGTCTGACCCAACAAAGATAACAGGGCTCTGAAGCCAAGTCTTGTTATATAACTTTTATATTTCCCATCTCGAGTGGGCAAAACAGGAAGGAGAAAAAAGAGAGCAAAGCAGCCTTTGATTTATATTCAAATGAGAAGTATACAGGGGAAATTGGATTTCTCTTTCATTTCAGAGAATGAATTTCCTGGTGGCAGATCGTATTGTATCATCTCGTGGCGTTAATATCCAGCTCTAAGCGTCCGGAGCTATTCTTCATTACAAAGACTCGCGGGAACTTTTACACCTCCTCGCCGCAGAACGCAATGATAATTTCCATTTCTGTTCCAATGTTCAAACAATACCCCAAAGGCCATTTAAGACATTTTCACCCGTTTTAATTTACACATGAAAGGCTGATAGCATATCAAAGGAGTCCTGCTTTACGTTCAGAAGAAAACTTGTTTCTGTCTCACGTCCCTTATGTCAACCAGATGCACTAATTCTGCACCTCAAAGCAAGCGGGCGGGAGGAGCATCCTTTTGTAGGTGTAATTGAGTTCAGCGAGTTAATACACCGATGAAAAAATTCAACAACGTTCACAACACTTCTAATCAGACTGCGCCGGCTCATGGAGAAGAACAGCATCCACACACTCGCTGTTATCAGAAAGCTTTCTGGACAAAATCCCTTAATGCCTTATTCTGATTCGGTCTTTGGGTTCGATGGATACATGCTGTAATCCCTAAAGATTAAACGCAACCGGCTGCAGGCTTCTGTCACATCGCTACACACAACCACAAGAAACAAGGACTGAGGGAATATATAGATAAATTAATTTTGATAAATAAAGGAATAAAGTCCACAATTTCAGGACTTGCCATGGGTCTAAACAAATTTAAAAAGATTTAAAAAAAGAGACAAACATTAACTATATCTTATTTTAAGTTTGTTTCAACAATATCATAAGAGAAGAAAGAAGTTATGAATAATAAATGTTATTTAAAAAAACCTGTTAAATATGCATTTGTGCCACACCTTATACGACAGACATACTTTCCCACAGCCAGACGCTCCTCACAGCTTCAAACATTGGTGGAAATTCCCAAATACAAACTGATACACGTCAGTCTTACACACATTGTGAGACGACAGAATCTAAAGTGGTATAAAATAAATAATCGTACTGTAAACTTAAAGCTTCCTTCAGCTTTTAAGACTTTTGGCTGGTTGTTGAACAGGAATAAACATCACTGTTCAACCAGTATCTTCGTAGGTGTTAATGCAGCCAGTGTGCTATCAACACCTAACGTGTTATATTTTCACTGAAGCAGCTGTTCAGTGACTTTTACCATTACAATTTATGTCAACAAGACACAGACTGTCCAGAGTTATCTCCGGCACCACCTGGTGGATTTACACGAGTTCATACTCAAAACACTGCTGCAATAATAACACCATTTGTCATATTTTTTCTCATGGTATTATTTTGTATTGACCCACTGCAAACTGATATGTGAAAAACTAGTTCAAGTATGTGTTCACCCGAATTAGGAATATAACTTTTTAACTTAAATGTAGTTGTTTTTAGCAATGGACATGTTTTTTAAATTTTATTTGACAAGGTTTTGAGATTTCTGGTGCAACCAAATACAACTTTGACTTTTTTGAAATGTAAGCAATGTGATTCAGAAACAATTTAATGGAAACGTTTGACTGTGGAACTCGTCTGGGAAACTGAATTTCTTGAAAATGGATCATTTATAATCTGTTATAATCTTTATACAGTCATTAAGTCTGCATACTATCACCTGAAGAACATATCTAGGATTAAAAAACTAATGTCACAACAGGACTTAGAAAAGCTTGTCCATGCTTTTATCTTCAGTAGACTCGACTACTGCAATAGTGTATTCACAGGGCTGACAAAAACATCCATTAGAAAGCTGCAGCTGATTCAGAACACTGCTGCTCGAGTCCTCACTAACATTAAAAGAGTGGATCAGTCCGGTTCTGAAATCTTTACATTGGCTTCTAGTCGGCCAAAGAATTGATTTTAAAATACTATTGCTAGTTTTTAAATCATTACATGGTTTAGGACCAAAGTATATTGTTGATCTCCTACATAATTACGAACCATCAAGGAGCTTCAGGTCTTCTGGGACGGGTCTGCTATCGGTTCCGAGAGTAAAAACAAAACATGGAGAGGCAGCGTTTAGCTATTATGCCCCGACAATCTGGAACAAACTACCCAAATCATGCACGTCTGCAGAAACTCGTACTATTTTTAAATCGAGACTGAAAACATATATTTTTGCCGCTGCTTTTAATTGAGCTGCTCATATTCGCACTACAGTATGCTATTTAAACATGTATTGTATACATGTTGTGTTTATTTTATTATCTTTGCTTTTTAATGCCTGTTGTAAAATGCCATTAAATAATGTGTTTTTACTGTATTTATTCCTAAAAAGTATTTTAATTTGTTTTGTAAAGCACTTTGAATTGTCTCGTGCTGAAAAGTGCTATATAAATAAACTTGCCTTGCCTTGCCTATGTTAAAAACGTTGATGATTAGTTTTTTGGATTATCTCAGGTGACAGGAACATTTCTCCAACACTGATGCTACTGATTCATTACTGTGGTGTTGTAAACATTAAATCACGTCAATGGATTTGTGCTGGAGGCCCAAGTATTCCACAACAACAACAAAGACCTGGACAAATAAAACAAAAACATTTATCAAAAGCGATCTTATCTCTCCAGAGGTAAGAGAGAAAATGTGTTTTTATTTTTATAATTTAATTGACCCTTGAAGCCAAACAAGCATGATTTGTGATGCAGGAACAAATGTTCAACAGATGTGAAGTTAACTTGATGACTCTCCTCAGATCAGAGACATGGCCATATATCATATCACAGCTCTGAGGACTTGTGTATCTTATGATTGTTAAGCTGACAAACACACAAATTTACTGCTGGATTTCCTACTTGCTATAATGTTTTCTCTCCACCTCTACATACATATCCGCAGCAACAGGTACGGTCCTTTGTTTCACTTTTCTTACTTTTTTCATGCAAACAGCCAACATATCCAAATAAATTAATGTCAAGTTCATTTAGCACAGAAATATTGAAAAGTATCCTCTGTATCCTGGGAGACTTTGTTGTTTTACGTCCAATGTACAGTACATCCAGGCTCCTTGTGTAATCCAAAGGCAATAATCCATCTACTCTTCGCGAGTCTCTTCGACATGATATTCCAACATTTAGAAAGTTTAAAAATTGTCTTGTAAGCAAGCGGTTCATGGAGTGGACATCCAAGCAGCAAGCGGGGCATTTGGCGTGCATCGAGGAGAATATCAGGATCACAAACGACTAATATTTGTAGAGTGAGGCGTAAGATCCAAAATCAATCGGCTCCGATGTTTTGCACAAATCCCCCAAGCAGCAGGAATTGTTTTAGAAGTGTTATGCGGCTCACACCTATTAGATTCCTTAAAAGCTGCAGGACACGTTTTTTTCGGGCGAGTGGAGTTCACTCGGACTCAATCAAAAGTGTCTGTTCCTCTCTTGTCTGTTCAGGAAAGCGAGTGCCTGGACGATTGCCAGTTTGATTCCCTGCAGGTATGGGAAAAGCAATAATCTCCACACACTTGATCGCAGCACTTTGTAAGTCTGCAGCTGTAGAGTTTTGCTGCTCAGTCGCCAGGAGCAGAAGGCTGTGGTTAAACTCAGGTATCAGGTTGTTTGCTTTACCTTATTTAAAATTAAATGTTGATTGCACAAGGCTACAATCAGTCTTAAGATTGGTTTTCCACAAGACTTGCTTTCAGTATGCTTCTCTGTCTACAGGGAAAGATCACATCACGTAGGCTCGATTTATGGCACAAAGCCGTGGAAATAGAATGCACTGTGTCCTCTGCAGTACTGCCAACTCTTTTCCAATTAAATAAACTAGTACAAACCCCAAAAAGTTGCTTTAAAAAGTCACAGTTACATTCATTAGCATAAAGCTGAGTAGCTGAGTTGGTTGCAGCTTGGAAGAGACTGCCAAGAGGAAAGGGAGCGACCCCCTGTGGTGTTGGCAGAAGAGCCATGGTCTGTGATTACTATGAGCAGCTTTTGGAGTTAATTACGATATCACATTTTTGAATATATTTCTAGCTCTTTCCCTGATAGTCTGGAGTAGTTGTCCTAGTTGTGGCGCCAACAATAATCGCTAGCAGGGGAAAAGTTGTCTATTGCCACTTTAAAAGCACTTGTTCTGCATTACTTCCTGCATTAAGGGAAATAATAAAAGAACTGACTCTCCTATTCAAACCTTAACTCTACCTTGACTTTGAATACAAACTAACTTAAAAGGGGTAATCCCTACAGCTGCACACACCTGCACTTCCTCCTGGCTTCAGCTCTGGATGTAGACTCAGTAAGAATCAGCTGCTCTGGTTTAAGGAGGCTACTTGGAAGCTGAATCCCTGTCAGGCCTCATGCTGAAGGGCTCCAGCCGCTCGCTCTCAGGCAGCATGTTGTTGAGGCGCTCCATCAGCGGCACCGTCTGGTCGATGCCCATCTGGATGCGTCTGAGGATCATTGACATCTCGTTGACCTTCTGGATCTGCTCGGCGTACTTGGCGTAGCGTTTCTGGCGCTCCTGCATTATGCTGAACAAGGTTTCCACTGACAAGTCCATCTGGAGGGAAACAGGGAGGATAGATATAGCCTTTGACTTTTGGAAAAGTCAAAGCTCCTGGCTTGAAATTGTTTATTTTGTCTTAAAAAAAAGTCAAAAACTCAAATACAATATTATACATTTAAGAATTTCTATTTGATACATTTCTTCATTTGTCAATTAATCAATGTAATGTAATTTCATTTTCTGCTGTAAACATCCGACAATAAGTACAATAACATTAAGGTAGGGTAGGTAAGTTTGAGAAACCGGCTCGAGATCGCTAGAATTTGAAAATACACAACCGGAGAAAATCTGCCACTTCCTTACAGAGCCCCTCCTCCAACACACACGAATGCGCACATGACCAATGAGGGCACGAGATAAGTTTGTGCACAGATGGAAGGCTGACAGGCAGGTAGGCCATCCAGTTATTTTAGCCGGGCCGGCTAAAATGATTGGTCGTGCTTTTTACAGTATTACGGCTTCCACAGATGACATTTTTTTATGGATTTTTTGTCAAAGCACTTAAAATATTCATTGCTATCGGGATGTTAAGAGCATTCCATGGAATATAACAAAAAGTGTATCTCGAGCCGGTTTCTCAAACTTACCTACCCTACCTTTAATAACATGTGCAATATTACTTTTTAAAATATCATTGGCCATATTAATACAAATATTGTACACTTTAAAATTATCAGTTTTTTTATTGGATTGTAGAAATTGTAGAGCAATCTATGGTACAAAAAATTACTTATTTTGTATTAAATTAGGTAAATGGTTTATTTATTTACTAACCATAAACCCTCTACATTCAATTGGGAACACAATAGTTAATTTATTTTTGGGGGGATTTATTAATGAGAAACCATACATGGTTAATATCACATGCTGTTCTTTAGGCAGCGTTACCTCTCTGATCCTCTTGACCAGAGCGTTCTGGTCGAAGGCCACGGCCTCGGCACACTGGTGCAGATGGTCCTGGTAGCGGATGCACAGCTGCATAACCTGAGCGGCTTCCAGCCTCTCCAGACACAAACTGCTGGGAGACGTCTGACCGCTCAGCACTCCTGTAAAAAGCAGAGATGAAACACTCGACAACTGCGTCACACTTGGTAATTATTGTAATTACTATGCACAGGATCTGACAGAGTTACATCTCTGCTATTTCAGGAGTACGCCTACACAGGAACCTTGGCTCATTATCCAGCTTCTAACACAGTGCTAATGGGCTGCAGTCTTTACAAGTTTTCAAAAAGGACTGGTACGTGTGGAAAATCATATGAAACTGAATATCTCCTTATGGAAAATGAAAGGAGGATAGAAGATCTTCAAAATCTACTGATATCTTCCAATAACCATAACTTCATGAAGCAACACTGCAATATCAAAGTAATCTTTGTCAGACATCAACAATAACTCCCGAGAACACAGAAATCAAAACACTGTGAAATGAAATATTAGTTATTGGAAGTATCAGTGCAGTGTGCATATCTGATGTCTGATTCCAGTTTTTTTTAATCTAGCACCCTCAAACTTATATTATGTGTGCTTTTTGCTCTGTTCTGTCTTTAACTGAAATTGTACCCCAGCGCCCAGACTCAGGTTTAAACTTTATATATATGCATTTCTAGGGCTCACTTAATACCTATAATATCTGATAGAGAATATAGGATTTCTGCTGTGGGTGAGCAATTGTTGACTTAAGTGTATAACCTGAATTTGACCACAATAGATTTAGCAACATATTTGACAGATGCCTCTATAACGCATGTAGGTAGCTGGAGGAGTTTAAAATGTACCTTTTAAAAGGGGCTGAAAGGTAGGTATCTCCTGAAGCTTAATAACATCTGGGTCGTTGTGGATATTTCGCAGTGATTGAGTCCCCGGAGCCACAATGACGATATCATCCATCTTTGCTTTCTGCTTCGCTGGGGAGGGCACCACTGCAAAGACAAAAGTCCTGTTAATATCATCGGGCATCTCACCAATAGGAATACTATTAATCCTTTTGAGCAGTTAACATTTATATTTGCTTTCTTTGCTTTTTACCAGAAATGAAATAAGTTCTATTTTTTTACTAACGGAAAATAAGTTGTCACAGTGTTAAAGCACTCAGTTACAAGTAATTATCCAAAATGTGAGTGAAGTAAAAATAAAAAAATGTTAACAGCAAAATATGAAAAGGTATCTAAAGTCTCCATTAGGCAGAATGATTCATTTCAGAGTTGATTTATATATGAAATCTTGGCAAATGATTTAAGCGTAACGTTAGTAAAAAAAAATACAAAATATTAAGAGATTTAGTGAAGCTGATAGTAGTTACATGTTACAAATAAAGAAATACTCAGTGCTTCACTAACTCAACTTCACATGACTTCAATTACCTTTCATCAAGAATGGCAAGCTCATACATTCAATAATTACTAAATAAGAATTACTTTTATGTTAGAGAAGTGATCTTACCCGAGGAGCTGTAGTCTGAGTGTTTGTGCTCCGAGTCTACGCTCTGTTCGGCTCCCATGGTGATAACGTCTGGCTAACAAGCTAGCGGTTAGCTTTCGTCAACGTTACAAGAAACACCAGCGAGCTAAATAACCCAAAGTACTAGATACAATAACCGTGTACATAGACTTCACACGACCTCAAAACACACACACACCGAAGCACAAACAAAAGGCACAGTCCTTGTTAGCTCTGCGGTTTGAAGCTAGTTAGCTTCGTTATAGCTAACGTCAGTTGCTCTTACTAGCTAACAGGTTAGCAGACCGTTGAAGCTAAGTGAGAGCCAAGCAGGTTTATATCATTACGGCGAGGGATAACCGAGTATCTTAAGAGTTTAACACATATTTACAATACAGGACACAACAGCAATGACAGTTCAGGACCAGACATCACTTCCGTAAATATTGGTCACGGGGTCTGCCTCTTTCTGTCCAGACCATAATATTACTGCCCCCTACTGCTGGTGAGGTCAGAAATAATCTAAATAGCAGGAAAACCCTATGGTCAAACCTCACATTTCTGCCCTATTTATTGACAGTTGGAGATTAGGGTTTCACCGTTTTTAACATGACTTAAGATACATTAATAAGTACAATAAAAAAACATTTGGATGTTATTAAGGTAGACTGGGATATGCATCACCTTAAAAGCTAAGTAACGTACCATTGAAATATAAACAATAGTGATTTTGATTATGATAAGTATATATCGCTTGAAAGTATGTTTTTCTTTGTAGGGTTTTCAATATTTTTTTAATGTGTAATTTAATTGTGCTCTTGTGTGGCCAATTCAGACCTCCACATTGTAATAAAAACATACAGTCAAGTTCATCTTTAACACTGTAGATTAACAGGACAAAAGCCGTGCTTAAAAGCACAACTGGAATACAAAACATTTAAAATGAACACGTATAAAAAACAAAGGCCTAACATGCCAACATTAATAACAGTGGAATAATATGAAACTTTCTGGATATATAAACAGCCACAACACTTTTTAAAACATGAAAATATTAATATTTTAACGCTGCTGTTTTTGCAATTCAACCAATTGAATGTTGTAACTCGTAAGAGCAGAAATGCTGCATTTAAGATTTGTTATTGACAAAATGTGTAAGATTATTTCACATTAACATAGAACAGACTCACTAACAAACATCTTTTTAGTAAAACCAACCTAGTAAGACAGGCTAAAATTGAACATAGAAATCCTCCTTTGATCTATAAGATATTTAACTTGAAGATAACTTGTTTAAACACGAGAAAGCATAATTGTAAGAGACAAAAAATGCCAGGGCTTCATTCAGGTTCATCTACTTTTCTGCCTATTTTCCATTTTCATCTTCCACCAGAGGGTAGGGTTGCAGGTCCAGGGTCAGAATGCGGCTGAACATGCATTCATCAAACTGTAGAGAAGAGAATTACTTAGTTTCAGTATTGTCATAACTCATAGGAATTTAGGAATTGTAAAATGCTATAAAAGTTTCTTACATCTGAGTAGACTCCCTGCAAAGCGTCAGACTTGGAGAAGAACTCCTCTTTCAGGGAGATGACGATGATCTGCAAGTTCTCTCTGGACTCCTCTCTGATGAAACTCGTCACCTGGGTACAAACAAAACACACGTGCTCAGTGACAAGGTCAATTAGCACAGTCTAATATTATATTATATCACACATGTGTCAAATTCAAGGCCCGGGGGCCAAATCAGGCCCTTGGTGGATTTAATTTTTCACGCACACCTTCACTCAATCCTGAGGATTTCCTCAGCTCAGAGCCTGACCCCAAACATTGATGAACTTGCACCCAAGATGAGATGCCAAGTATCTGGCTTGAACTAGCATCACAGAGCAGCACACTGAGTTTACATGGCTGTTTCCTTTTGCACTTTTTTTCTTGCGACAACAGGGCATGTTTGGATTTTTCTTTGAGGGAAATAGTTTTTCTGAAGCTGTGGTTGGCCTATGGAAAAATGTAATCATAAGAAATGAAGCTGCAGATAGAGCCATAAGAAATGAATGCAACTGATTATTTAATGTTTAAAGGGCCCATGTCATGCTTTTCCGGTTATTACCCGTCCCCTTGTGTGTTATGAAGGTTTTTATGCATGTAAACGGTCTGCAGAGTCAAAAACCCTCAAAGTACACCATGTAGCGAGTAAAACTCTAACACAGTCTATTCTGCCCCAAAACGCCTCTTTGGAGATTTCTCATTTTCCATTGTTTACTTCCTGGGTACTGTGACGTGTGAATACCCAGAGGCCACACCCTCTGCCAGCATTTCACGAAACAAAGCTTCCCAAACCTTTCAGCGATTCATGCCGGATATGCACAGCGTAGGGCACTGAAGAACATTGCTGTTCCTACTTTGTTTGGACCAGCGGGAGATTCGGGTACACAACCTGTAAGTATTCATTGTTGTTTGTGTATTTATGATGTTTAAAACAAACAAGGTATCTACCACGACTGCTTAAATGGGTAAACGTTTTTCGGGCTGCTAAGTTGGGATCGCAGAGAAATGCTCTCTGCAGACCCATGCTCACAGCGTTATAAACCTTTTTCTTACTCAATATCAAGCCACACTTATTGTTTTTACTTCGGCTGTGAGTGTGTGTGTGCTCAGGATGAGTTTCGCTTGTTCTCGCTGTATCGCCGACCTGGAAGCCTGTCGGCTCCTCGCAGCAGATCGCAGCAACGAGCCTCGCAACGAGCCTCGCAACGTCCCGACCAATCAGAGCACACTGGGCTCACAGGGAGGGGGGGGGGCAGGAGCTCCAACAAGCCATTTAGGACAGAGAGTGAATACACATACTTTAGAGCAGGGCTCTCCAACACGTCGATCGCGAGCTACCGGTAGCTGTTTTAAAGTAGCTCGCCGCTCGATTATCAATTATAGCGTAGTAAGGTTGCTTATTGATTTTTCGGCCGCGGCTGGACAATAACGTTTTTTTATTTTAGAATTTTTTCTGTCACACGAATATCAAATGGTCGGTGACGCAGAGATCTAGGAACAGACGTGACAGCAGCACAGCGACAACACACACGGAGCAGTCTGCTTTCTCCACCAGCACCAGTCCAGAACCAACAGCAGAATGACCCGCTCTGAATCAGGCCCTGTCGCTGCGGCTCAGAGACACACAGGGAGGGATTTGTGTTTTTTGAAAAACACTCGTTATCGTCATGTCAGGTTTTTGGTGGATTTAATCAAGTCTTGGATTGCAGAGTATGAATGTTCTCTTGCTATTTTCAGTTGATAAATACTTGTGTAAAGTTTGTGAAGGCAGGAGGAAAGCTTCCGCGATCACCGTCTCCTCTCCGTTCCTCCAAACCCCGCCCCCTCCCTGAAAATAATGAGTGACAGGCTGATAGTGACCCGATAGAAACTTTATTATTCACTTAATCACTGATTGAGATATGATGAAGCTAACTATTAATCTCATACATTCATGGGATTTATGTAACAGTAAGACAGAGAATGTAAGTGTGCACCCACATGCACTATTTTTGTTTTTATAATGCTGTTGTAAATACTCCTGTTGTCTGCTGTGTTCAGACTCAAGTCCTGTGTGTGATGCCACATTCAAGACATTCAGTGTCTTTTTTTTAACAGAAGACCGTAGCTAGAAGCTGCAGCTAGACTGCAGAAGTTTTTGTTTTTGAGGATGGAACCATTTTCACACACAGATATAGGGAGGCTAGACTTATACAATTGATTTATTATGGTTTATAATTTAATGTCAAGACGAAGAAGAAGAAGAAAAAGATGGCTGAACAACTGTTCAGTGTCAATCCTGTGGAGATCTCCAAAATAATGTTCAGCTTAAGTCTCAGCAAAACTCACAACATTTCTGGAGCCTTGTAGACCCCGGAAACTATAGAACATTCACCAAGCAGCACTGAACATGTCTGCTTTATTTGGTTCTGTTCTACATACCTTTGTGAAGCAGCTTTTTCTGACATGAATGAAATCTAAATACAGAACAAGACCGACTGAAGAACATTTAAATGACTCTATTAGAGTGAACCTAAGTGGGTACACTCCAGCAGACACCTGTATGGCGGACTGCCAGTGCCATTCATCTCACTAACAAAAGAGTGAAATGCTTGTAAGGTGGTGATTAAGGACACTTATGTGAATGTTAAGTGATGTACTTATTATGTGGGCCATAATAATATGTGAGAAATGTTCGTTTTCTTGGAACTTGATTTGATTTTTGATAAGCTTTAGGTATTGCAATTTCACACGTGTACAAAAGTATAGCTTAATTCAACTGATGAGGGCTATGTGAATAAATGTAAGCGATGTGATGCAAGTAGCTCTTGGCCACTTTCATTTTTTGAAAGTAGCTCTCAGATGAAGAAAGGTTGGAGACCCCTGCTTTAGAGAGATACTGTATGAGAAACCAATGTGAGTTTGGAAAATTGCCTCAACAATGGAATTATGATCAGTAGAAATGGCCATGACATGGGACCTTATGTTGTTTTTATAGGCAATCATTTAAAGTGGACCTATCATGCTATATTTGAATAATATAGTGTAGGACCATACCTATATAAGGCATATTTATACTTTTTTTTTTTCAAAATACCAAACAGATCATGCATTTTAGCCATGCCTCATTTTGCTCAATTTGACATTTTTTAGATCTGTTTTAGCAAGGGTTGATTCTGTGAGCAACAGCACCATCTAGAGGCCTGGCATATGTACTACAACGTCTCCAGCGCTTTCGAACGGCAATGCCGTGGTTATCTCCTCCTGATTGGTGGAGTTGGCCCAATAGCCGTAGCGCCACTGTCCTGACGTCAGGAAAGTGTTCAAATCTGGATCAGTTTTTATCAGATCCGTTGCAGCCCCTTTTTTAGAGATTTGGGTATGGAGGAAAATAGAGAGGGTTGTGTTTTCTGACACTTGGTGAGTTCCCTGGAACACCGGGGACACATATTCATGTATAAAAGACGTAGACAAGTGCATTTTGCATGATAGGTCCCCTTTAAAGGAGACATGTCATGGCCATTTCCACTGATCATAATTTCATTGTTCATACTAGAATAGATTTATATTGTGCAATTTTCCAAACTCACATTGGTTTCTCATACAGCATCTCTGTAAACTATGTGTATTCACTGAATTTCACTCTCTGCCTTTAACGGCTCGTTGGAGCTCCAATAGCTCCAGCCCCCACCCTCCCTGTGAGCACAGTGTGCTCTGATTGGTCGGGACGTTGTGAATCGCGCTGAGCTCCGTCGAGGTGTTGTTTCCTTGTTTAGCGATACACAGCGAAACACAGCCAAACTCATCCTGAGCACACACAAAGTCACAGCCGGATTAAAAACAATAAGTGTGGCTTGATATTGAGTAAGAAAAAGGTTGATAAACGCTGTGAGAATGGGTCTGCAGAGAGAATTTCGCCGCGATCCCAACTGTCTGTTATCAGCCTGCAGCCAGGGAGGAGAAATCAGCTGAGCTGCCTGCACTGTGTGTGTGTGTGAGGAAGTCCGTGGATTGGTCAATTTGGACCAATCAGCGGGGGCTTAACGTAACGGCTCCGCGGACATAACGTAACGGCTCCACGGATTGGTCCATTTCGTTCCGGGTACGGGGTTACGTCACCCCGTACCCAGAAGAATCAAATGGACAATGACGTATCTCCAACGAGGCGTTTTGGGGAGGTATTTTCTGTGTTAGAGTTTTACTCGCTACAGGGTGTACTTTGAGGGTTTTGACTCGGCACACCGTTTACATGCATAAAAACCTTCATAACACACAAGGGGACGGGTAATAACCGGAAAAGCATGACATGTGTCCTTTAAGCTTTGTTAGTTCCAGGTTTAATATGTGCAATAAGTTCATTTCAATAGGTTCTGCAATAAACATTGAATCAGTCCGGCCCTCGACGAGTACCCCTTTTTTAATTTTTGCCCACTGTGTATTTGAGTTTGACACTCCTGTTATATCATGTAAAATATACTTGTGTTTATTATTTAACACAAAATGTTCTGCAAGCAAAATAAGGTTATAAGAAAAGCTGTGTATTTATCACAATTCTCCAAAAGCAGAAGTGATCCCTGAAATGATCATGCATTGTCCATCCAACACTCTGAAGCCCAAACATATCCAGTTAAAAATTATATAAAACATACAAAAAGCAGCAAATCCTCACATTAAAGGTGGGGTAGGTAAGTTTGAGAAACCAGCTCGAGATACACTTTTTGTTATATTCCATGGAATGCTCTTAACATCCCGATAGCAATGAATATCTGAAGTGCTTTGACAAAAAATCCATAAAAATATTTCATCTGTGGAAGCCGTAATACTGTAAAAAGCACGACCAATCATTTTAGCCGGCCCGGCTAAAATAACTGGATGGCCTACCTGCCTGTCAGCCTTCCATCTGTGCACAAACTTATCTCGTGCCTTCATTGGTCATGTGCGCGTTCGTGTGTGTTGGAGGAGGGGCTCTGTAAGGAAGTGGCAGATCTTTTCCGGCTGTGTATTTTCAAATTCTAGCACACTCGAGCTGGTTTCTCCAAAATTACCTACCCCACCTTTAAGGATGTATGGAATTGAAGAATATTGGAATTGTTGGTTGATTGATGTTAATTGCTGTAACAAAAATGAATGGTAAACAATAGATGCAGCTGGTTTTCTTACTTTGCCGATGTTTGTATTGTCCAGCGCTGCATCCACCTCGTCCAAGATCAAGAAGGGAGCGGGGCGGAAACTGAGAGACATGAGAGCAGCGAGCCAAACGACGTGGGTCAAATGTTAAAGTCAGGGCCATTAAAAACTGATGCAACAAGTATAAGATTATGTGGGAAAGTGCTTTAGATAGAAGTATCAGAAGAGGGGGAAAAGGATGAAGTGCAAAAGAGAATAAAAAGGAAGGAGTGATGATGGGTTCAGGGAGAGGATCAACAGACTCTCCAAATTACATAGTTTGACTTTATTAGTCCATTCATCAGCTACAAAACTCAGTCATTACAAGTTAAGTACCCCCAGGCCACTTGCAAAATGGTTGTTTCTGAAATCGCTAGTGTCAACAGCTGTGGTAATATTTATTTTATCTCCTTTTTAAAGTTTTCCATCTGTCCAGATTAATTAATATCTAGCAAAAACAGATCTTGGTAAATGATTTTAGGGAATAATGGTATGTCAATCTGGTGTTGAAGAATTTAAATTCTGTTTATTTTACGTGTTATCGGTTGCTTTTATGTGCATTTATTTTAGTATCCACATTCATTTCGATATTTTATTGTTCCTATCCCCTGGCAAAATATCTTAATGTATTTTATTGTGTTGAAATACGCCTTATAAATCCAGGGTATATGCAGGAATCCTGAAGTCAAATTGAATACCTTTGAGACCCTTTCCATACATTTTAAGACCTCATCGCCACTTGGAGTTTTAACCGGTTACATTGGCGACACACTTTACCTCACATTTACTATACACAGTATTGATTGTCCTTCCTCCTTATCTTCCAACCATTTGGACGCAAACTTGCATTTCCCCATAACGATGTTGTTTAACAACCGGCGTAAACGGACCTTCGCGCTATCAAGCAGTGAGCGTGCGATGTCCTGTTCAGATGACGTCAAATCCAACGGGATGCCATAAATAAACTACACAGAATCACACTACACACCTACGCAATGATTACATTCAGGCAGACTGTAGAATACTACCTCTTTGGACCATTTATATACTTATTGAAAACAAGCTACAAAATGTAATACCTTGGAAAATGCCGTTTAATACTTTTTAATAGCCTTAATTTTCGCTAAATTGATTTATCAACTTTTAATACTTTTTAAGACCCCGTGGACACCCTGAAATCATGAACCTTGCCTAATGTAAAGTCATATAGTGTGTTTTAGGGTTGGGTTATAAGCCCAGTGTTACCTGTGGATAGCGAACACCAGGGCGAGGGAAGCGATAGCCTTCTCTCCACCCGACAGGTTGTCCATAGACATGAAGCGTTTCCCCGGAGCCACGCAGTTGTAGTTGATGCCGCCGAGGTACGGCTCTTCAGGAGTCTCTGCACTCAGAATGGCCTGCAGCACATACAGAGGGATTCAAAGCTTCTTGTTCTTGCTTGTAACATCTTCTGCAATGCCCAATGTTAATGAAAACGATGAACCGTTCACACTGTTTATGATTAGATGAATTTTAAGTGCCTTACAAGAAGGAACAACAGTTGGTTGGAAACTTTTATTCTAGCTGTATAACAAATTGAAATGTTGACTTCAATTATATTTATTTTGTCTACAGTTTCTACGTTATTTTATGAGGTTAATTAAAAGCAGTTTAAAGGTCCCATGTCATGGCCATTTCTACTGATAATTCCATTGTTGAGGTCTACTAGAATAGATTTACATTGTTCAATGTTCCAAAATGACATTGGTTTCTCATACAGCATCTCTGTATAGTATGTGTATTCACTCTCTGTCCTAAACGGCTTGTTGGAGCTCCTGCCCCCCCCTCCCTATGAGCCCACTGTGCTCTGATTGGTCAGCTCGCCCACTCTGTTCTGATGAGTCCACCACCGTTACAGTGGAACATCAGTGATTATGTGTTACAATGGCGTTTGTTAGCAACCAGAAAATGACACCAGTAATGACAACCAGATGAGAATGCTGCGTGGGGTCTGGGTGCCGTGATGGCGGGACGTTGCGGGCCTCGCTGCTTCGCCCTTTGAGACTCGAGGAGCGGACAGTGTGAGCTGGATTACTGGTGTCGTGTCCTGATTGCTGCGAGACAGCGAGACACGGCGAAACTCAGCATGAACTCAGCCTGAGCACACACACGTGAGTGTGTGGCGAACTGTGAGTGGAGATCCACGCAGCTGCGGCTGAGAAAAGATAAGGTTGAGTGAGTGTGTGTGCCGGCGAAACTCCGCGGAGTACCGCGGCTGAGAAAAGATACGGCTGAGTGAGTGTGTGTGTGTGAGGAGCTCGGATTGGTGCATTTGGACCTGGGTATGGGCACGTCACTGAACCCAGGAAGAAAACAATGGAAAAAGAGAAATCTCGAACGAGGCGTTCTGGGGCAGCATAGACAGGTATTTTCTGTGTTAGAGTTGTACTCGCTACAGGGTGTACTTTGAGGGTTTGTGACTTTACAGACCGTTTACATGCAGAAAAACATTCATAACACACAAGGGGACGGGTAATAACCGGAAAAGCATGACATGGGACCTTTAAGTCATTAAATCTGCTAATTAAAGTCAACATTTTCTGTTTTGAGTGTATACACAGTAGATGCAATGATGCCACCTATCAGTCTCATATTTTGCACAACCATGATGATGGTTTTAAGTCGCATGTATAGGAACTTGAGTGTGTTTCTGTGGTTGAGGTTTTGTGGCTTCACCTGGGCGCTGTTGTTCCTGCAGATTCTTTTATAGATCTGATCGATGACGACAGACACGTGATCAAAGCACTGAGTGAAGAGCTGCAGGCGCTTTGCTTTCACCAGCTCAAACTCCTGACTGCACTTTCTGGCCACTCTGGTGCAGGCTTCAAACGCTGAGGGAGGGACAACATGTTAACTTAAAATGTGCACATAGTTATACTCGGGGTTCCTGCAGGTTTCACCAACTCAAATGTAAGACTTTTTAAGACCACTTTGAATAGAATTTAAGACCTATTTCGATGACTGAACATAACAGCATAACAGTACACAGAACTGTGTTAGACAAAAAGTGTGTGTGTGTGTGTGTGACAAGAGCTATAGTCAGAGCTATGCTGTCTTCATGCTGTTGTATGATTGGTGTTTAGCTACGATATTTAGCGTCCACACCACCTCCGCTTTTAGGGTTGACGTAGACCCAAACGTCGCCCGGAGGTCCCCCGGTGTTGTTGCGGGAGTAGCTGCACTAGCTAACGCTGCACTAGCTAACGCTGCATTAGCAAAACAAACGCTAATTTGTTTTGCAAAAGGTGCAGCGGGCTTCAAACACGTTCCCTCCACTGGTTTCAACCAAGCACTAAATTCGATGTTTTTCAACCAAATACGGTTGAACTTACACTTCCCCATATTTATTTGTAAGTAGATTTGAAGATACATGAGTTTCTGACTGCCGCTAGCTGAAGCTTGGTTACTAGGTTACTAGCTGGGTGTTCTCCAATAAGGGGCCGGGGGAAACAAAAGTTAGTGATTACTGGTTCCATGTTGATTTATTTCAATACAAATTGTTGGGGGGAACTGAAAGGCTATTACCGTACTGGTTACTTTGCAGCCCGGACATTTCCCCCAAAACACATTTAGACGCGATCGCAACACAGAAGTACCTTTCAAATCCGATCATTTTTAAGACCTTCTAAATCATATTTAAGACCTTTCTTATTTTTTTGATCATATTTAGGACCTTTTTATGGCCTTAAATTCTGATTATCAAATGTAAGACTTTTTAAGACCCCGCGGGAACCCTGTATACTATATTTGTATTATATTAAATACACCTAACCAAAGATTAATTTTGTCACGAAAACTTGATAAATACCATCGGACACTCCCTGCAGCTTGTCTTTCACCTCCCTCATCTTCTCCAGAGCTTTGAGGTTGGGGGCGGTGGTGCGCTGCAGAACTCCCTCGATGGAGGACATGGACTCCTTCAGCCTGTCAATGTGCGCCTGCACCTCCTTCTCAGCCTCTAGACTCTGCACACACATTCAATGCATGTTATAGATTACTTTCTGATCATAGGAGAACATAGCACAAAGGACAAAGCTTTGGGTTCATGTCTCACCCTAAAATCTTCGTCCAGGCCAGAGTAGTCGATGATCAGCTGTGCCTCTCTCTCATAGATGCTCAAGGTGTTCATGGTTGAAGTGCTTTCAGTTTCTGTGTCCAGCTGTAAAGGAGAGTCTGTCATCAGGTGATACTGACACTGACAGTTGTATTATTAAGTCCTCAGGGTTTCTCAGCTTTACATTTTCTAAAACAAGTGCAGTTTCTTTTATTAATTTATTCGTTTTTTTTCTAAATATGATAATTTAGCTCAATTTAATATTTTTTACTTTTGCCAAAAATGTGCAGGACTCATTTAGAGATTGTAAATGGTACATGGACTGCATTTATGCAACGCTTCTCCAGTCTTTGCTACTAATCAAACCATTCACAAACATTTACAGACATTCAAACACACAATTTGGGGTAAAGTATCTGGCTCAAGGACACATCAAAATGTTTACTGCTAGGGATCGAACCACACCTTTCCTATTGGCAAACGCCAGCACTATCTCCTGAGCCACAGCTGGCCCTAAATGGCACAACGATGAGTTAAATCTCTCTGTGTCACACCTGCACCTCGCTGATCTCGTTGAAGTTCCCTGACAGCAGGACGATGGGCAGACCCTGGATCTTGCAGCCGAGCAGCATGTTGTGTCTGAACAAACGTTTGTGCTCCAAAGCCGAATCTGCAGACATCACCTCGCGCTGGAACTTCACCAACTCTCTGAAGACAGAGAAACACCACAATAATATATTTTAAATGGTGTTTTGACACATATTTTGGCTTTTAAATCCTATTTTCCATTACAGGTCACCTATCATGCTATTTTTAGGCAATAGCATAGGTCTCAGATATATAAAAATATATAAAAAACATGTCTATGAAGTGTTTTGCTCAAAATACCAAACAGATCACCCATTCTAGCCATGTCTCATATCCCTCTATTTCACTTCCTGTTTCAAAAGTGCTGATTTTGGGTATAAAGCTTTAAAAAAACAAATGATAAAAAATAAAAAAAGGAGGGGGCTGAGCTCATGCGGGACCCGACAGCTACTGTCTAAACTAAATACTGCCGTGATGAAACGCCATATCATGGATTATCAAGGATTATTTCTGAAACAGTATGGAGCTCAAAGGCTTTCTCTCTTGCCGGTTATACCACAAGGTGAGTTCCTTTTTATTTCCTGCTTCTTCACACACATGCTCTCCAGTACAGGTTAGCTCTGAGTGTTAGCGATGCTAATGTAAACACCGACCATATTATGTCCAAAACAGTCGGGCATTGTTTCTGATAGCAACGTTTCTGATAGGGCCGTGGGTGTAAAGCCAGCCTACATTTCCGATATTACGTCATATCGGACGCAAATCTGGATCAGCTCCGTTGTACCCCCGTTTTTAGAGATTTGGGTACGGAGGAAAAGAGAGAGGGTTTTATTTTCTGACGCTGCGTGAGTTCCCCGACACACCGGGGACACATCTTTATGTATAAAAGACATCAAAAAGTGCATTTTGTATGATAGGTCCCCTTTAACCTGTTCCACTCTGAGCCTGTTTTTCAGGTCTCAGGCTCGAAAATGACATTCCCAGAACAAATGACCATATCTTCCCTTCTAAAAGGGTTAAATTAATAATCTTTGTTCTCAAAGTAATGATAAACCTGTGAGTTGGATGTAGAAGTGTCAGAATCAATATAAATGTTTTTTATTTTAAAGAAAATTCAGATTTTACATAGTAAAAAACTGTAAATTATAGTGTCCGTCCAAAAATTATTTTTTACAGATAGTGAAAACTACCCTTGGATGATGGGTTAGTAGACTAAAAGCTTTAGGAATCCAAAGTACAACATATAATAAGTACCCTGTATCAAGATTGATGCAAAACAAGTGAAATTTGACCTTTTTAGAGAGATTTAGCCAAAAACTGGGCCATCTGGGTGGATTTGACCTATCTCTGGCCCCCCTTGCTCGATTTGGTTGGTTGACATACCCTTGTGACCGTTAGAGCCAATAGAATCGAAGGGGGAGGCTCCCACCCAGACACGTTGTAAAGAAAAAATGTGGTTGCTTCGCGTGTGGAAAACGAAACCAAAGTGGAGGAATGTCTCCTTCTGGAGTTTGGAAACTAAAACGCAGTTGTATTGCTTATGGATTATCAGAAATAATTTCAAAGAAGGCACAGACACATAGGATGAATCTATGGATTAACTGCAGCATCGTTTTTTTATCGTTTTAATGCCATTGAAGACCACTTTTGACCAAGGTAAGCCATATTTACGTGTTTAGCTTCTTAGCTCCACATGTGATGATGTACGCTTTCGTTTAGAGCGTTGCGAATGTTTATCACTGAGTGTTGAGGAGGGCACCGGTAGATTCAGTGTCTCCAGGACACCAAAAAAGAGTGGTTGGTTGTGCATCTAGGATAAGTAATAAGGGAGTTAGAGTGAGTTTAGTTGCCTTAGTATGTTACGTTTTTTCCGCTTGAGGCTAATTCAGAGGTTGAGTGCTAGCATTGTGGGTTTTTTTTGAAAAAAAAAATTAAAAAGATCAGTTAGCTGAGTTTCTTCCCGTTACATGGATATAACACATTCATAGTTTTATTCAATATTAAGATTCCTTAGACGTTGTTTCCTGCAAATGACGCGTTTATCCGCCCGGTACCGGGGGGAAGGTGTGAAACAGGTTAATATACAAAATGTCAGCACAGTTAGAGGTGTAGGAGGTGGAGTTACTTGTTGATCCCTTGGAGGCTCTGGGTGTTCAGGTCCAGCTCAGCTTTGGCAGCGGCCATCTGGCTCTTCTTGGCCAGCAGCTGGTTCTTCAACTCCAGATTTTTGCTCTGACTCTCCTCCACCGCAACCAGCAGCCTCTCCTCCTCCTGGGGGGGAAGGAGTATACATCACACTGAAAAAGTCTGCAGAAAAGTTTAATTTCACATGCAGAAATATTCCTAAATACATTTATTTTTAAATCTCATTTGGAGGAAAATATATATTCCAAGAGGAAGTGGGTATTCAATATAAAGTTATTAACTAAAGCACATTTTAACCATCCTACAGGAGGCAGTTTGACGATAATAACACTACCTTCCTCAGCTCGGCCATGGTTCTCTCCTCCTTGTCGATGGTTTCCTCCATTTTGTGGAGCTTATTCTTCTGCTGCCCCAGTTGTTCTTGTTGGTACTCCAGCTGTGCGTTCAGGCGAGTGCACTGACTCTCAAACTCCAGGCTAAAAGATGACAATGTAAGGTGTTTAGGTAGTAACACACATGAAGAAAATCATGCATACAAATAATACTTAGACAAACAAGATTATTCTGAACAGGAAGATATACATTAAGTTATGTACATTATAGCTTAAAGCTAGGGTAGGTAAGAATGGAGAAACCAGCTCGAGTGCGCTAGAATTTGAAAGTACGCAGCCGAAAAAAATACTTCCTTACAGAGCCCCTCCTCCAACACACACGAACGCGCACATGACCAATGAGGGCACGAGATAAGTTTGTGCACGAGATGGAAGGCTGACAGGCAGGTAGGCCATCCAGTTATTTTAGCCGGGCCGGCTCAGATGATTGGTTATATTTAGAACACTTAGTATCTTAGTAAAGATCTTCTCAGAAGTTAAATCAATAAATGAAAACTTGCAAGGAACTTTATAAAATAAGAAAATGCGACAGTGTGTTTTTCGTACCGTTTATTGTCAATCTCGGTCTGATGTTTCAGGTTCTCCTGCTCGTACTGTCTGATGTTGTCCACTCCGATCTCAGCACAGAAGTCAGAAAACACCAGGTCCTCCATCTGAGTATTTACACAGTTAAAGTCAAGACAAGCAAACGTTATTCATTGAGCCAAAATCTATCCATAGACCCTTCAGATAAGAGAAACACTTCCAAAAGAAACCTCAGGAAGAGCAACAGGAAGGGTGGAGGAGGAAGGGGTTCTGTCCATGGATGTAATAAGAACTAGATACAGCGTGGGAGGCGGGGCCTCGTTCATTCCTATGAGAGTTGCTCATTGGCACATGAAGACAAAATGGCCAAACTTAATGATTATGACTATGATTATACGAGATGTTTTCCTACGTTTGTCATGACAAATTATGTCTCAGGAGTGTAGGGTTTGGGAATTATGGCAGGTTTAAAAAAAAAATATGAAGGTGAATTTCAAGCTGTCCTCCACTCTAGCTTTGAGATCACACACCTTAACGAGCTGCTCAATACACACTAATGTTAACATCTGAAGAAGGCCTCTTTACCAAGGTCTGAACAATGTTTAATATTTCTAAAAGTATGAATGAGATTTAAAAGTTGTTTAACATGAATAATGTCAGAAAGGTGTGTAACATTTTAAAGTTGGAATGAGGTTTCTGAGTGAAAGTATGAAGGAGCAGTTAGCAGTTGAAGTCGCATGAAGATTTTTCAAGTCTGAAGAGTTTCTCCATTGACTTCAATGTTAAAAATGTGATGAATCATGGGATGTATCTCTGGAATTATGAAAGTTATGAATGAGAAAAGTAATAGCCATCGATTCCCGACCGAGCTGAACGTTTTGATGTTTGAACGGAGTTTCTGCGATGTGGAATGTGGGAGAAGAAGAGGCGCAAAATAACCCGGCGGAATAATAAAGAATTTCGTGCGTCGAATAACAGATAGTTGGAATGCTGTATCAGCATTCTCACTAAATAATAATATTGCACATGTTATATAGCAGCGAGTGTTTTGTAATTATATTTATATTGCAATTAATTTAAATTAAGCCATGCCACATTGAGTCATGCCATATGACCATGAGACGGTGGAGACACCAAACTGGTTCTATTTAGCTTAAAGGGGACCTATCATGCAAAATGCACTTTTGTACGTCTTTTATACATGAATATGTGTCCCCGGTGTTCCAGGGAACTCACCAAGTGTCAGAAAACACAACCCTCTCTATTTTCCTCCATACCCAAATCTCTAAAAATGGGGCTGCAACGGATCTGATAAAAACTGATCCAGATTTGAACACGTTACTGACGTCAGGACAGTGGCGCTACGGCTATTGGGCCAACTCTCCACCTATCAGGGGAATGTGGGGTTGGGCCACGGCCGGCCATTGCCGCTCGAAAGCGCTGGAGACGCTGTAGTACATATGCCAGGCCTGTAAGTGGCGCTGTAGTCTGCATAAAAAGCAGCGAAGAAGACTTCCCGCGCATGGTTACCATGGTTGCCCTTCTGTTTATTCTCTGCTGTGGCTCTTTTTCTCCCTCCCCGAGACAAGCGTTTGCTCCCGCTGCTTTAATTCAATGCAATCCCTCCCCGTCGAGGCAAGCACTGTAATTCTCTCCGGTTAGTCCACCAGCAGATGACAAACACCCACCTCTCCGCCTCTTCCAAGGAACGAGGGGACCGTGCGGCAGAGTTTCAGTTTCAGTTTTTTCGCCGGTCAACATGTCCGTTAAAGTTTAAATCTTCCGGACAAAATTAGAAAAGTGCCGGTCAAAGGTCTTTTTTGTTATTTATTGAGCTTTAAAAACAAATGAATAATGACTCTATATAATCATATATAAGAATAAAACACAGAGGACGGAGATCTCTTTTTCTCCCCCTCTTCCGACAGCCCAGCAGCTGATCTCAAAGCACGCTCCCCTCTCTTGCAGGGGGGCGTGGTCAGCTGCAGCTCACAGAATCAGCCCCCTGCAAAAACAGGGCTGGAAAGAGCAAATAGAGTGGCGAAGTCCCTCCCACTTACTTCCGGGGTATGGGACCTTATTCCGGAAAAGTTATGCATTGAAGTCAATGGGGAGAGAAAACTTATCTTTCGATCCCGTTTGAATTGTGCCATGAATTACACATATGATGTTTGTCAATCTTAAAAAATCATTTCCATGTCAAAAAAGTCACAGTTTGTCGTAAAACTGTTGAAATATAAGACTATGAAAAATACGTAACTAGAAAGACTACAAATCCCAGAGTCGCGTAAGTGATGTCACAATTGTTTTCCTCCACCATTCAGATACCTAAGATCAGCGCAATATAGATATAATCTATCTATATGGCGCTGGCTAAGATAAGATAACTTTAACAAGATGCCTGTGTGCTTAGTACCAGGTTGTTATTATACCAGCAATGGGTCTTGCTCGTTCTTTTGCTTCCCGTCTGATGAAACGACCAGGAGTGGCTTGATCAAGTTAGCTACCTAGCTAGTAGCTAGCACGTTAGTTAGCATTACAGCCTTGTCATTTTTATTAGCCTTAACATGAAGTAACATTAAGTAACCCAAAATGTTAAACAGTAAGAGTAGTAGTCATATTTCGTGAACCCTTTGAATAGTACTGTCACCGGTGTGATCATTCTATAATACACCATTTAATTCCGGGGGAGAAATGCTAACGCTAACGTTAGCATCGGCGATCTTTTCTACTTCATGCTATCTGCACAAATGGTTGACATTAAACATTAAAACGACCAGGCAGTTCAGAGAGAATCAAAGGAAGGCAGGCTTTGCATGACATTCTTCAGGACGTGTTTCATTGTGGTGATAGTCAATCGTTTGTTGACAAGACAGTAGTGACGGCCATCTTGGTGACGTGTGTGGTTGACCAGAGATGTAGTTCATTGAGCCTTTCACACAAACAAATGTGTTACTTCACAGTTTTACGACACATTTTAATTTTTTTGACTTGCAAAATTATCTTTTAAATTGACAAACATCATATGTGTAATTCGTGGCACAATTCAAACGGGATCGAAAGATAATCTTTCTCTCTCCATTGACTTCAATGCATAACTTTTCCGAAATAAGGTCCCATGGGGCTCAACCGGAAGGGGAGGGACTTCGCCACTCTATAGAGCGAAATGAGGCATGGCTAAAATGCAGGATCTGTTTGGTATTTTGAAAAAAAAAACTATATTTTATATATATACTTTATATAGGTATGGCCCTACAATATATTGCTCAAATATAGCATGATATGTCCCCTTTAACATTTAACCAATTTAGTAGTGGCATGAACTCACTGGCAGCGTCAGCATAATGAACAGACAACAGACAAGTTGGAGAAGATGCTTAGTCAGCTGTACCTGGTCGACCCGCTTTCTGATCTTCCCCATCTCTGCGTCCTTTGTCTCCACGCTCTCCTGCTGCATCTGGATCTGACAGTCCAGGTTTGCTAACTCACTCTCCATACGAGAAATCTCCTGAGAACAAACAGCAGGAGATGATAAGACAAAAATACTTTTGACGATCTTCGCTCCTGTGTCACCCTTATACAAAACATTCTTGGAAAACCATTATGATTTTCACCATGCCTTTTTAATATCTATATGAATGATCTATCAGATGATTTAAGTGTCTGTAAAACAGGATGTGTGATTGGTAATGTGAAAGTAAACCATCTTATGTATGCCGATGATTTGGCTATTGTTTCTCCTAGCAGTGCTGGATTTCAACAGTTGCTAAATGTGTGTTCTGATTATGGAGTCAAATTTGATGTTAAATACAATGCTAAGAAGAGCGCTGTAATGATCTGCAAAGCAAAAGGGGATAAGAACCTTGGTTTTCCAACATTCTATCTGTCAGGACAGGTGCTGTCTGTTTGCTGTAAAACAAAGTATCTGGGACACATCATTACAGATGAAATGGCTGATGATGATGACATGTATAGACAGCGGCGTGTCTTATATACACAAGCTAACATGTTGGCTAGAAAATTCTCTTGGTGTTCAGATAAGGTTATGGTGAACCTCTTTAGAGCTTATTGTACTCCTCTCTATACTGCCCCCTTGTGGGTCAAGTTTAAGAAGGCGAGCCTCAAGAAGCTCCAGGTTGCTTATAATGATTGTTTGCGTATACTGCTTAGAAAACCAAGGTGGTGCAGTGCAAGTGAAATGTTTTGTAATGCACGAGTCAACACGTTCCATGCTCTCTTCAGAAATCTGAAGTACAAATTCATCTGTCTATTGAATGTTTCTCCTAACTCTGTCATTATGCTGCCTTCAAATCCGTGTCTCAGTGCTATACGATACCAGTCACCTCTGTGGAAACATTGGTATAACTGCCTTTTTTTATTTATATTTGAGTGTTGTATGTCTTTTAATAATGGACCAAGAGTCTCTTTAAATAAATCTGATGATGATGATGGGATAAAAGGGGGCTCTTATTTACATGTACATAGAGTAGAGTCATGGCACAGTACAGTCACATTATGGTATTACATTTGAGAAGACCAGAGTTCAGTGACCCTACCGCTTGGCATTTAAGGATGTCTTTCTTCCTAATGTTATCCAGGTCAGTTTTGGAGTATTTGAGGCGAGTCTGAGCGCCCTGAGCCTGAGCAACGACCTCCTTCAGGTCTGAGTCCTTCCGCTTCAGCTTCATCAAATCCTGTCACAGGATAAAAACACAGAGTGAAGGTTAATAACAATTTAATAATAGAAGAAGTAATTAACTATGCCCTCGAGTTTCATGGCATGATTTTCCATCATATTTGCCACTTTGTGTGTGTACTCACGCGCATCTCTGCTGTCAGCTGGTCCTTGCGTTCCTTCAGCCGCAGCATGTCCTTCTCGTCCCAGACACGAGCTTTGGCCCGCAGGTCGCTGGAGCCTCCAGAGATCGTGCCTGATTTTGAAAACAGCGTCCCGTCCAGAGCGACTGTCTGCAGGAAACACATCTGATTACACGTCTGCTGGCCAGTTACCCAGTAAGCAGTGACTTGTTTGCTGTCAATAGAACCGTTGCTTTACTTTGCAAGAGCCGCGTTCACACCAAGTACTTTCCTGTACTTAGTTCCGGCACTAAGAGCCCTGGCGCTTTTAACCCCAGGGTACTTAGTACAGATCGCGTTCACACCGGAGTACTTTTCCCTGAGGGAAGATTACAAGTACAGTAGGTGGCGGTAAGCACCTTAAAGTTGTTTGCAACACGCTACAAAACAAGAGAAGAAGAAAAACTGATACAGGATCTGTTTAATCGCCATGTCGGTTTTCTTTATTGCACTCTCAAGACATAACATTAAATAGAAATATTTTAAATGTAACTAAAGTGTCAGTTGTACATGTCAGTAAACATTGTCAATATAAAATAAAGTGTCAGTTGTACTATATAATAACAGTAATAATAATATAAAATAAACTCCCAGCTGTAGGGAGTCTCAGCAGCAAACCCACCTTTATTATATATCTTCCTGAGACCCACTGCATCCGTCTGCCATAAACACTATGCAAACATACATGTTAGTTTTGGCCCATAGTGGACTCCATGTTGTGTTGTGTGAAATGGGGGGGAATTAAAAGTTTAGGTCAAATAATATTTAAAATGATATAAATTGTCATATTTGTGTATGTGCCCCTGCCATTCCCCCACAAGGTTGCAACATTGATGATAAATAAATGACAAATAAAGCTTTGCCAGTTTATAACCGATGAAACATGATGGTATCAGAATAATGTGATGTATAGGATGCTACACAGGTCACAAAAGATAAAGTGTCAGGAGAAATAAGCTTAATCGCCATGTCGGTTTTCTTTATTGCACTCTCAAGACATAACATTAAATAGAACAATTTTAAATGTAAATAAAGTGTCAGTTGTACATGTCAGTAAACATTATATATAAAATAAAGTCATAACAGTAATAACAATATAAAATAAACTGTCCCAGGTGTAGGGATATTCTCAGCAGCATACTTAGTGCAAAGTTGTGTGTCGTGTGTCAGTATTTACAAAAACTATACCAAATAAACTGTTATTAAATGCAGTTTGTCGCTCATCCTGCCGCTGCGCCGACGCTTCCTCATGGCGCAGCGCCCACACTTCATCCTGGTGCTGCTGGCGCTCCATCTGCTGCTTGAACACTTCTGCCTGGCGCTCCATCGAGGTGAGCATCTTGTCCTCCGTTTCCTGGGCCTTGGTGAACAGCACCATCTGATCTCCAGGCAGCGACTCATTCACCACGGCACGCCGGTCCTCCAACGCCTGGGCGGTGTCAAAGAAATTCGCATCCCGTGTCCGCTTTCCTAAAAGGGGAAAATAAGCAATATACAATATACAAGTTTAGTCGCCATGTAGTTTTACAACATACTAGGAATGTGTTTTTTGTATTTTCACAAATAGAATTAAGGTTTCACAAATCTGAAACTGTGTTATAAAGAATGTTTAGACCCTCTGGGATAATCCAGTCCAAATAAATCGGCTATGCAGCGATTTAAGAGGTTCAAACACGGAGGATTGTTCCTTTTTGAAGAGTGCTTCATGTATGCTTGAACTTTGTTTAATGTTGTTGAGGCAAGTTAAACATAAAATATGATGAATATTATGAAATAAACATGATTGTGAACATCAGTTCGATGCGTAACGTTCTTTCAAGACAAAGTTACAGTGTGTGTGTACTGTGTGCTCGGGGCCGGTGTTAGCCTATTATGGCTAGCATGGCTAGCTTGATCTACTGAGCAAATAAAAGTACATCTGAGACCATTATTGTGCAGATTAAAACCCCAGTGCATGTAGTTGATTTTACCTTCGTCGTGGTCGTCATCGTTGGCCACTGAATCCGCCGTTTGTAGTCCTGCCCGAGTTTCTTTATTTTTAGCCGGTGTGCCGTGGGGCTGTGCACATTCCCAGGTCGAGTGAAAGCTACTGAACTGGCTTCAGTGCATTCCCTGGGTCGCGTCCTCTGTGTAGATCTCCAGAAGCGCCGACACCTCCTCATCATTTCTTGATGCTTGCCATAACTGCTTTCAAAAACAAACACAACGCACGGAGCGTTGTGTTTTTGTAGCGAGGAAAAACAATGGCGGCTCTACACAACATTTTCAGAGTTGTACGGGCGTGGTTTGCAATTCGCCCAGCCAATCAGCACTGGGGCACTTTTGGAGAACTTTTCACCCACAGAAAAGTACGCTCTCTGAGTTGGCTCTAAAAATGGGGGTAAAAGTACCCGAGATTAAGTACGATTTTTGGTGTGAACGCGACTCACGGAACTAAAACGCGAAAAGTACGGTGAAAGTACTCCGGTGTGAACGCGGCTAAGGTTGCCATGAAATGGGCTAATTCAGAAGAAAACAACAACAAACTGATTTGGAGGAGAAGGCTTTTGTAGATCAGGAAGTAAAACATAATAGACAGATTGCTCTAGTAGATTTGTGACTTCATAATCTCAGAGAATATTCAAGTGTTTTTCTTGTGAAAGTTACTAGGGATGCTCCGATTCCGGCGATCGCCCCCAAAATTGGCGATCGGAGCATCCCTAAAAGTTATGAAATGTGTTTAACTCTGAACATTTCATCCTCATCTTGGTCTGTTATTTTTTTTATTAACTCCAGTACCCCTAAGGCCCGTTGGTTATTTTCCTCTCAACTAGATTCTAAGATTCAAAAGGTTTATTGTCATATCATACTAGGCCTATTCTTTTAAATAAAAAGGGTAGTAATGCAGTTTGCAATTACAACTTATTGTTATTTATAAATTACAAGCTCTGTAAGAAAACATAAGACTGTGCAGACTTTAAAGTTGAACTTTGGTGTCTGTGTCTTTAGGGAAAAACGTACCTTGATGCGCTCCCGCCCGTCGAAGGCCACACTCTTTGCTTCTTTGATGGTGTCACACACCAACGCGTTGCCACAGACAAACTGCACCACCTTCCTCAGCTGGGCGGCACCTGTAGCGTTGTTAATCCGAACAACATCCACCACCATCTTCGCCCCGGGAACATCCCTCAGCCGCTCACTCAGGGGAATCACCTGAGCACACAGTAACAATGGTTTCATTTAATCTACTGATGCATCTGTGTGTACGACTGATCTCTCCCAAAAGTCCTTACATCCAAGTAGTCGATGGGCAGGAAGGTTTCACGTTCAGCTCGCTCCTCCTTGATGAAAGTGATGCAGTCCCGGGCCACTTTCTCTGAAGCCACTACGATGGCATTCATGAAGTGTCCAAACACCTTGATGACGGCCAGCTGGTACTTCTTATGGGTCGGGCTGCACAGGTCAGACAGACGGCCAAACTGGGACAGGGAAGAACCATACAAATATTTAGGTTAGAACAAATATAAAAATGTGTAAACAAAGGATAATATTATATTATAAAAGTGTGCAAATTGGATCAGATACAGTTGTTGGTTGTGATGTTTTTTCTTTTATATAAGACGATTATTTCCTTAACCCTTGTGTTGTGTTCAAAAGCTGTTACCGTTCATGGTGTTCGCGGGTCAATTTTGACCCATGATTTATCTCAGTCCAAAACACACCAAAAAAAAGACTATCATCCAATATTGTTTTAACTACATCATAACTAACTTATAATGCATTCATAACCGTACAATCCTGTTGTAATTTAATGTTATGGCCCAAAACACATTACACCACATATTGCACACGTGCATGTGTGAGTTCAGGTTCAAGTGTTAGTGTACATATTCTTTGAGAAAGGTTGAGTTCCCGTGGGGGGAGGGGAGACCAGGTGCATGTTGCGAACAATTATTGTTACAGTGGCTGAAGGGGGTGGGGGAGGGGTGTCTAAAGTCAAAGATGAATCTTGATTGGACCAAATTTGACCTCGAGTCACCCAAAACAATTCTGCTGGGTCTCCCCAGACCCCAACACCAAATGATACACTTTTTTTTTTAGAGAGCTTCGGACTTGGCTAAAATTGTAAAAATCAGTTTTGTAGTGTTGATATAGCTGTTGTGGAGGATATCATGAAGCCTCCATAAAAAAAACGAGAGCGTAGTTATTATATAATTTTAACTTGAAACGGGTCACGGGAGACCCGAACACAACATAAGGGTTAATAAACAGGCCTTCAGTCTTCTGCCTTTCACAGCACATGGGTCTAAGTTATCCCTGCTCAGGCTGCCCTCTGTCTCTCACCACAGTGTCAGGGTAGAGTCTGCGCAGCTTCTCCAGCAGCTCCTTGCGCTGCAGCGTCCTCCGGCTCTCCTGGCTGTCCAGGCGGGCGTTCCCCAGCTCCTCCAGCACCTGACCCAGCTCCTGGTTCACCTCCTCGCTGCGCTGCCGGCCTTGCTGCAGCTCCGTGCTCAGACTCTCCTCCTTCTGACGAAACTCTTCCAGGGACGACCTGGTAATTCATTAATAACCGTGGAGTTCAATCAACACCTACTTTGAAAATGAGGGGCTGCATGTGGTGAAATGTGTGCACTTGACGTACTTGCAGGACTTGGTGTACTCTTCTAGCTTCTCTGCTCTGCGTGTGAGATCCTGCAGCTGAGTCTGGTTGCTCCTGATGGCAGCCTACGACAGACGATGTTTCAAGAGTGGTACAATTAGGCATCTATAATATATTTTTTATTCACTCATGTTTCAGCTGCAGCATGCAGGATTTCCTCTAAAAAGCCACTGTATCAGAGTTCCCGTTAGAATATTTTTTTGCCGGTCAACATGTCCGTTAAAGTTGAAATCTTCCGACAAAATGAGGTCAAAGTTCTTCTTTGTTATTTATTGAGCTTTAAAACAAATTGATATGATTCGATATTAAACAAACTAATTATAGTAGATTAACTACATTATTCAAAAGTGTACAGTAACTTACAATAACACGGGAATAATAAACGGAGCACTCTCTCCCTTAGACTTAGACAAGAATAGTAAATTCTAATGTCTAACATTTAATGTGGAGAAAGAGATGTCCTGTATGGGTTGATTGTGCGTTGATCTGTTGGTAATGCCTCGGGGCATAGAGTGGCGAAGTCCCTCCCCTTCCGGTGGACCTCCATGGGACCTTATTTCGGAAAAATTATGTATTGAAGTCAACGATTATCTTTCGATCCCGTTTGAATTGTGCCACGAATTACACATACGATGTTTGTCAATTTAAAAAAAAAATGTGCAAGTCAAAAAAAAAAAAATGTGTTGTAAAACTGTGAAGTAACACATTTGTTTGTGTGAAACGCTCAATGAACTACATCTCTGGTCAACAACACACGTCACCAAGATGGCAGTCACTACTGTCTTGTCAACAAAACGATTGACTACCCTCACTATCACCACAATGAAACACGTCCTGAAGAATGTCATGCAAAGCTGCCTGTATGCCTTCCTTTGATTCTCTCTGAACTGCCTGGTCGTTTTAATGTTTAATGTCAACCATTTGTGCAGATAGCATGAAGTAGAGAAGATCGTCGATGCTAGCGTTAGCGTTAGCATTTCTCCCCCGGGCTTAAATTGTGTATTATAGAATGATCACACCGGTGACAGTACTCTTCAAAGGGTTCACGAAATATGACTACTACTCTTACTGTTTAACATTTTGGGTTACTTAATGTTACTTCATGTTAAGGCTAATAAAAATGACAAGGCTGTAATGCTAACTAACGTGCTAGCTACTAGCTAGGTAGCTAACTTGATCAAGCCACTCCTGGTCCTTTCATCAGACGGGAAGCGAAAGAACGAGCAAGACCCATTGCTGGTATAATAACAACCTGGTACTAAGCACACAGGCATCTTGTTAAAGTTATCTTATCTTAGCCAGCGCCATATAGATAGATTATATCTATATGGCGCTGATCTTAGCTATCTCTTAGTGGAGGAAAACAATTGTGACATCACTTATTTGTAGTCTTTCTAGTTGCGTATTTTTCATAGTCTTATATTTCAACAGTTTTACGACAAACTGTGACATTTTTGACATGGAAATAATTTTTAAGATTGACAATCATCATATGTGTAATTCTTGGCACAATTCAAACTGGATCGAAAGATACGTTTTCTCTCTCCATTGACTTCAATACATTTTCCGAAATAAGGTCCCATGGGGCGGAAGTAGATGGGCGTGACTTCGCCACTCTATGTAAACAAATGCATAATGCTGCGCTATACTTTGCGGCCTCACCCGGTTGCATAGCGACACTTATTGTTTAGGTGTCTTTTGATAAGCAGGTAGTCATATCATTAGCTAGAACTAGCTAGATCTGATCGATATGGACATAAACGCGAGTGAAGTCTAATCTGACGGGAGAGAGAGATCAGCTGCTGCTGACGAGTCGACACGCAGCTCTGCATGATCACCTGCAGCGGTGAGCAGAGCAAAACACACACTTCAGGTTAGAATATCATGTAGCTATTTTAATTACCTCTCAAACTACCTAAACTAGTTATAGATATGTTTAGTTTTACTGTCGGGTCACACAGTATTTTAAGTGTCCGAAAATGACAATAAAATAGCGGTATGCAACGTGTGTGTGAAGCAGAAATCCTGCAGCTCCACCCGCTGTGACGGACCGGTGAGCGGAGCAGAACACACATTAAGAGTTAGACCTAACACACTTAGCTATTTTATCTACCTCTGGAACAAGCTAAACTAGTTATAAATATATTTATTCTTCACTGTCGGGTCACTCATTACTGGATCCGCGAGCTGCATGATACTGGCGGGCTGTCAGGAGAGGGAGAGCGCTCCGTTTATTATTCCTGTGTTATTATAAGTTACTGTACACTTTTGATTAATGTAGTTAATCTACAATAATGAGTTTGTTTAATATCGAATCATATCAATTTGTTTTAAAGCTCAATAAATAACAAAGAAGTCCTTTGACCGGCACTTTTCTAATTTTGTCCGGAAGATTTCAACTTTAACGGACATTTTGACCGGCAAAAATATATTCTAACGGGAACTCTGGCCTACTACGATAGACGATGTTTCAAGAGTGGTACAATTAGGCATCTATAATATATTCTTGATTCACTCATGTTTCAGTTGCAGCATGCAGGGTTTCCTCTAAAAAGCCACTGTATACTAACTTCTCATCACCAAAACAGTAGATTGACAAAAAGATAGACAAGCTGGTAAACAAAGTGAAGCATTTAGCAGCTGAAGAAACGGAGAAATGTTGGTAGAGAAGAAAAAACTGAGCTGGACACAAACTCCAAATAAACAACGATGTTAATTTGTAACTGCTGAATATGTACAGTATATAAGAACTTGAAAACTGATATGTAGATGTTTTCATACATTGTTAAAATAATAGTTATCTCAGTGTGAAACATATTGCTTTTCACTTCAAAGATGTGTAGCATCAGCTCTGACAGTACCTCCACTTCCTTCTTCCTGCGCTGGTCGAACGCCATCTTCTCCCGGTCCGCTCTCACCTCCCAGTGCAGCTTCTCCGCCTGCTGCGTACAGACGGCTCCCTGCTTCCAGGCCATCTCCTTCAGCTCTTTGTATCGCTCCGCCTGTGGCAGAAATACATGAAGAATTCACTTACAAATATATAAACACTGACTTTCTGCTGTCTGATTCCTGGACCATGTACATGTTGGCCTCAGCTTAATATGTATTCAGTTGCAACTGAAGTATGGTTGGTTAGATAAGATTACATTAAATCTATTTAGTGGATATTCAAGATGCATATATCAGAACAAAATCCCCAAATCTATCATAAATATATAGGGAACTAAAGTATTTACTGTATGTTACCAATTTGATCCATGTTTAGACTAATGGAATATGTATTTTTGGAGCATTTAATCAGTTTTAAGGGTCTTTGGTTTGTTTTAGGTGTTATGTAGGTTCTTTGTGGAATCAAGCACATTTCTGATATGTATTGTTAAGAGTTTTATTTAACTGAAGCAAAGACTCTGTGTGCAATGAGTACTAAGTAAGAAGAAACATAGCCATACAATATGATGAGTTTTTTGTCGCTATACAAATGCCTCAACTCCTGAATACTTAGTGCTTTTAAAAGTGAAAGGACTCTGGTTAAACACCAGCCTCCAACTTCCTATCAGTAATATTTGTCACTAGGGATGCTCCGATCAATCGGCCGCCGATCGATATCGGCCGATATTCACTCTCTGCCGATCGATCGGTGCTCTCTATAAAGGCCGATCGTGAGAGCCGATCGCATGACGTAAAATACATGACACTTTTCTCTGTGCGGCAAAACAAGCTCGCCAAAATGGCTTCACCAGTCAGGCAGTATTTTAAGGTGTCCGAAAAAGACAATAAAATAGCGGTATGCAACGTGTGTGAAGCAGAAAATCAACTCTTGAACAACAACAAAAAGCCCGCGTTTTATCCAGTTTGTACACAACGATGGAGAAACTTAACAAGCAGCAGTGGTCCACTGAAGAGACCAGCTACCTACTGGGAATCTGGTCTTCCGAAGAGGTACAGAGGAAGCTGGAGCACAATCTGCCATTGTTGTTGTTGTCGGTGTGAGCTGTGAGGGGTTTCCGCGCGGTTTGGCTTTATGAAGCAGGCACGCAAACGATGACGCAATGACGCAGCACCAGTCGGACTCTGGGCGGTGTGAAAAGAGCCGGAGCTAAACCGAAGAACCGGTTCTGAACCTGAAAAGCTCTAGCACGGAGCTTGAACCGGAGTTGCGTTGGTGTGAATGAGGTAATAGAGAGAGAGGGAGAGAGAGAGAGAGGGAGAGAGAGAGGGAGAGGGAGAGAGAGCGCTTCCGCTCATTTCTCCCGTGTTATCCAAAGTTAATGTAAACTTGAATAATGTACTTCATTTGAATGTAATAATTATGTTGGTTGTTGTTTGTGGAGGCGCCAGTGAATGAGCCCCATTAACTGAGTTTTAAACATCACTTTAAATGGAAGATCCCCATAGGCCCCACCCAGTCGATCGGATCGACGATCGGTATCGGCCGATACTGATTCCGGCGATCCCTAGCATCCCTAGTTGTCACCATAAATAATGACTTCTGGTTTGAGTGAACTCACCTGACTCTCGTCCAGCTCGATGTCTCTCCCCAGGGCGGCTCCTTTCTGCTGGACCTGCTTCTCGTAGTTCCTCCAGGAGCGCTCCAGCTCACCGATCTCCTTCCGTCCCTCGGCCAGCTCCTGCTCTTTGAAAACCATCAGTTTCTGAATCTTCCTCAGAGCAGCGCAGAGCTCCTCGGCCTTCTTCATGTGATGGGAGGTGTTAACCTTGGCTTTGATGTACTGGGATCGACACTGGGACAGGGCGTGCTCCTGGACGCTGGAGCAGAGTGAGAGGGAGCCAAGTTATAATAGTAATGTAAGTGTTAATGTCCATGTATTTTTATTAGATAGATAGATAGATAAATAGATAGATAGGTAGATAAATAGATAGATAGGTAGATAGATAGATAGGTAGGTAGGTAGATAGATAGATAGATAGATAGATAGATAGATAGATAGATAGATAGATAGATAGATAGATAGATAGATAGATAGATAGATACGATAGATAGATAGATCGAATAGTATAGATAGAATAGATAGATAGATAGATAGTGGATAGATAGATAGATAGATAGATAGATAGATAGATAGATAGATAGATAGATAGATAGATAGATAGATAGATGGATGGATGATGGATGGATGGATGGATGGATGGATAGATGGATGGATAGATAGATGGATGGATAGATAGATGGATGGATAGATAGGTAGGTAGATAGATGGACAGATGGATAGATGGATAGATAGTGAGAGCTCTGTTTTCCAGCCTGAGTCTATTTAATTTATTGTTTTGGTTGTGCGTGATTTATTACTCCGGAAGTTTTTCCTTGTACGATGTGAGGGTCTAAGGACAGAGGGTGTCGTATTGTCATACTGATATTCTGTACAAACTGTGAAGTCCACTGAGACAAATGTAACATTTGTGATATTGGGCTATATAAATAAACATTGATTGATTGATTGATTACGTCAGTTCCATTAGAAATCAACTGTTATATTAATGAAACCCTGTATATGTGAAGTGTGTTTGAGTACCTAAAAACTGCACTATAAAGTAAATGTATTATTATGATGAACAAATGCTAACATAGGAGGTATTACTGTTATACATCCCTACAAAGAGACACAAATCAGCTTGTGAGGACAAATACAAAAATATGAAATACTATAATTAGCTTATTGCTAGGCATATCATGATATACGACTATAAATCATTCTACATATTGGATATTGTAATATCTAAGGGAAGTTATTTTCCTCGTTTGAAAGGTTGCATAACAGTAACATTATTTCATTCTTTTAACTTACCAGACTGTTCTAGTTGTTTTATTATTTGCTTTTACCTACCAAGCCTTTTTATCCACATTACTTTGATTATTCATCAAAAACCTCATTGTGTAAACATTTTGAGAAAGCACCAATAGTCAACCTTACAATATTGTCGTTATATTTATAGTAGAGTATTTCATCAAAAACATTGAGAAATTAAATGTGTTCCCACATGCTCCCCCCCCTACTTAGGGTATTTTATGATATACTACATTTCTTCCCACTGTTATGATTTTTAAATCAAACACACCGGATCTCCTTGTCCACTTGCTGCTGCTCTCTGCTGAGGCGTCCATGTTCCTTCTTGAAGCTTTTGAACTTCTGCTCAGCGTTCATCAGTTTGTTGCTCTGAGCGGCTGCAACCTGCTGTTTCTCCGTCAGGGTGTCGCTGAAGGCGCGGACCCCCTTTTCGTTGTGGAAGAGCTCCGCCAGGCTCAGCTGCAGCCGGTTCTCGTCAATCTCGTCCACCAGTGCCTGGTACCTCTGGGCCTGGAAAGGTGGGTTCAAGTCAAAGTCAACTTTATTGTCAATCTTTCAGTTTGTGTGTACAGACAGAGAGATCGAAATACCGTTTCCCACAATCTCGAATAGAAAAACAAATATATATAAAAATATGTATGCAAATATGTATATATCTATATATACACAATCAAAGACACATTTATACATATGCACACATTAAGACATAAATAAAAGCAAAAGTTGTGGGGGGTTAGCAGTTTATCGAAGAGCAGGAAAGAAAAATGAAGGCCACTACACTACAGTCTAGACCAGGGATGGGCAACTTTGATGGTGGTGGGGGCCACATAATGTATGTACTGGCCACCAGGGGGCCGCAGATTCACTTGGAACACACACACACAAATTCCATATTAACAAATATACTAAGTCTGACATCTTCATTGACATTTTACAATCTTTCAGGGAACATCCTCTAATAAGCTCACTAAACAAATATCAGTTCACAGAAATGTTATTTAATTTTTACAAGTGGCATGTTTGTATTGAACAGGTTATTTAACAGAGATACAACTATTTTAAACTATTGGAAAGCACGGAAAATGTGTGTGCATTGAGATTAACCATTAAGATGACATAAACATGAAGTCATGAACACTAACCCAGACATTAGTTGTCTAACTTGAACCTAAGACACTGACGCAGAATAAGGGGAATGTCAACACAGACACCTGTCAATCCGCACTCTGCTGTTCCTCAGCGCCGCTCCCCCTCCCTCCCGCTGAAATCATGAATGAAAAGCATATAGTAATCATAGATAACACGGCAGGGTCCGTGACAGTTTGTTTTCATCCGATTTCAAATAAACAAAGTCTTGGTTTTTAAAATATTAAACGTGTTTCGCCAAATTCAGATGATAAATACAACTTTGAAGCTTATAAAGGCCTAATTACAAGCGGCAACTTAACGTCACAGCAGGCATAACAACAGCCGGTGTTTCTTGTGAGTGTTTCCCCGGGAAACAAACACAATACACACAAACGCGTCACAGATTATTTTTGTATTTTTGCGGTATTTGGCTGCCGAACGAAATCATGTACGCAGCTCGCGATGTAACTAGGACGTCTAGTGGACGGTATCAGTACTACAAGTACCTTTTAATGAATTACGTTGTTTATAAATTAATCTGAGGGCCGCAAAAAGAGGAGGTGGGGGCCGCCATTTGCCCATGCCTGGTCTAGTCGATGCTAAACAGCCACTTTCTGTGAGCACACATAAATCAGTTATATAAGTAAAAATAAAGGTATTTCAGATGCTACATTAACAGAGACAGCGTGGGTCACAACCCAGAATGAACCCAAAACTTAAATAAAAAAAAGTTTAGGTGGATAGGTGGATTTCCAGAGTAGGGTGTAGACAGTATGTAAGAAAGTTAATATGTGATTCAACTGTGCACTGTCTAGCTGTAGTATCTAGGAAAATATTAAGTATGTGATTAGGACTTTATATTTAATGACTTGAATAGGGATCTTTGGGTAAAAATCCTTGATGGGGACATCCCTAGATAGTACTGAAGGAGCCTTGCCTCCTCCACTCCAATTATTCAAGCCACCTGCTCTGAGCCTGACACCTAATTTGTCTGCGAGTGGTTATAAATGAAGCTGTCAGGAAATACCTCCAAGGTTGTGGTGACTTTGGAAACTGAAGTGAACAAGCAGGTGTAGTGGTCGTTGGACGCGGGGGATCGCCGTTCCCCCACTTATTTGGAGCCCCCACTTTTTTGAAGCAGGATTTTTTTTGAATAGTCTAATAAATATAAAATCATTGCCAGTGTTATCAGTTGCAAGTGTGTATTTGTTGTAATAATGACGAAAACATAATACATTTCACAGTAATTATAATCAAAATTAAAAACGATTTCCTTAAAAAATGATGATTCATCATCACGCGCAATTTTGTTTGTTTGTTATGAGATTTAAATAGATGTTGAAAGTGGAGATAGAGAGAGAGAAGCAGCGCTGTCTGCTTAGTTGCAATACTGTAGCTCAAGCATTTATGCAACTTAGGCCTATAAATTGTTCATGTAACTTATGTGCCGGTGTGTCCATGGTTTTGAGTCTGTGCGTGTTGAGCGCAGCGCCGTCTGCTTTTTGCAGTACAGTAACTAAAGTAGGACTTAGCATACCGGTAGTTTCTGTAGACCTGTCTGCCCGTTTTGTGAGTGCACTGCGCGTGCACACTTGTGGCATTGTTTGGGATGACCTAATTAAAATAGCGTCCACCCAGTAAAAAAATCCCCACTACACCACTGTGAACAAGCCCCTGTAGCTGAGAGTGCAGAAAGATTATTCTGCTCTTTTTGTGTGATGACTTTACCTCTACTTTTTCCTGCGACACCTGTTTCCTCTCCACAATAGCAGATTTCTTCTTGTTGAAGTGAAACTGAGTGTCCTCTTTGGCCTTCATCAGCGCCTCTTTCTTCAGATCATACTCTGCAGCATACTCTTTAGACTGACTGATGACCTCGAACATCTTGGTCCTCTCCTTTGGATCCTTCAGAGCGATGGACTCCACTGCCCCCTTGTGATGAGAACAATGATTTACAGACTTGTTTGTAAGGTATTATTACTATACACAACTAGTAAGGTGTATATTATCCTATATCAAAGGTGTATATTCTTATATGTGTTGTGCTGGTGTATGTTTGAGTGCAAATATATACAGTATCATTGTAATTTATAGTATTTATTCAGACAGAGTACTTGACATTAATTTAGCAACAGAGTTCTCACAGCATGACAATCTGTCCTTGGTTTATATACCTAAAATCTTGATACCTCCCACTTCATATACTTCATATTCTATACAACATACAGCATATCTTCAAGTGTATCTACACAAATGTTAACAATAGTGTTTACCTGGAACACCAGACAGTTTCGAGCTTTGGTCACAATGCCGATTTTCTGCAGCTCCTCCAAGTATTTGGCCAGAGAGACATGTACACCATTGATGCGATACTCCGAAGAGTCCCCTTAAAAAATAACATATTTGGCATCAGATGATTTAATAAAACTTGGCAGATAAAACATATGTTTTGCTTTTCTTTCCAGAACCCCTAGACTTGAAAAAATATACAGAATCCTTAAAAACAAACAAAAACAAGCAACTGTGTAGTTTCATTATTATGACTAATCTATGTCATTAGACATATACAGTAGAATACTTTTCTAGGCAACTTATTATAGAGGTGCAATGAATAACTATCCACCTAATCGACTACTTTTTACAATCAACGTAACTTTTTAAGCAAAAATATTAGTTTTCTGCCTCTCCAAAATGGTGATTTCCTGCTTTCCATCATATTAAACTGAATAAATGTGGGTTTTAGGATAACATTTTAATGGATATTTGGCAATATCTTCTGAGATTGTAAAACTAAATCGAATATTCTAGAATATATTCAACATATTTATTTGTATTGAAAATAACAGTTATTTGCAGACCTTGTCCTGCCCTCCATTGAACCACCTGCTGCTTTCTGAACAGTTAACCATATATGAATGCTCAGATAATAAGATAAACGTATAAACTGACCAAAAATACTCCTGCAGAACACGGTCTCCTGGTCCTCCTGGTCGCAGTACTGCAAGGAGACCCTGGCGGTGCCGGGCACAGGCCTCCCGATGTGGGCTCCGTGGACCAGGTCCCGGAGGTGCTTCACACGAAGACAGGCAGCCCGCTCCCCCAGGGCGAAACTTATGGCGTCCATCACGTTGGATTTGCCTAGAATTTGTTTCATAGTCGTTAGCTTAACATTAAAACTAAGTTAACTAAACTAACCTCCATATAAGGAGTGGCCTTGTGAAGTTAAAATCATGATAAATTACTATTAAATACCCTTAAACAGTGTTTTTTACACAGAATATTGATGCTCTGACATAAATTATGATTTATTATTTACATAAGCATTATATTTAGTGTGTCTTAATAATGTTCATACTGTATAAAAGAGCATATTTTGGACCTAGGAAAACGTAATATTAGCATAATACTAGCTTAATAATAATTAAGCTAAACTAACATGCTAGTAGCACTGACAGCTAACATTAGCATTGATGGTACAAAAGTTAACTTAGTTTAAACTTAGGGGTAAAAGAGTATATTTTAGAGACTTATTATGGTCTAACATAAATTATGGTTTTATTTAACATATGCATTATATTAATTATTTCTTAATATTGTTCATACTGTATAAAAGAGTGCAAATTATGGACTTAGTAAAATGTAGCTTAATAATAGTTCAGCTAAGCTAACATGCTAGCAGCATCGACAGCTAACGTTAGCTAGCTAGAGAGCTAGCAACCGTTGATGGTACAAAGTTAACTTACCAGAGCCGTTTGTCCCGATTATACAATTAAATCTCATAAAAGGACCGATTACTTTCTTCCCTCGCCATGACTTGAAGTTTTCAATGTCAATTTGTTTGAGATAGCCCATTTTATTCTTCTTTTTGTGGAGAATCAAGAAGGCTATAAAAGTGTAAAGTCAAGTCATTAACTTGAAGGATGCCGATATTGAGTTCTTCCTGCCTCTAAAATTGAGAGGCGGGAAGAACTTTTCTTTTTTGCCCATTGCATATAATGTGAATAAACCTTATTCAAACATAGGCTAATAATCACGGAAATAGTTAGATATATTTTTCTTATTCTGTTCTGATTTTAATAGTAACACTAATGGGAATGGGAATAAAATACAGATATTTTAATACCACAGTAAAATCTTTAAGTCAAAATGTCACTCGAGTATAAAGCAACCAGGCAGTATAAATGAATAACACAATTATAATTTGCTCCACAATTAACAGCTACATCTAAAATATTACACATTATTGCATCATTAGATAGAATATATAGGCTATTGAAATGATTGAACTACAAATATGCAATTACTTTAAGCGCACAAAGTGTATTTGATTTTGATAATACTTTAATTGCAGGACTTTAACTTACAAAGTAGGCATTTTAACACTGTATTATTGTTAATATTAATAAGTAAAGTATCAAAATACTTCTTCCATAATACTGTTGGAGTTATAAGTGAAACCTTTAATCTTGTCAAGTAATTACAAACTAAAGTAATTATACCAAGTCAAGCACATAACACAGTTTCAGGGTTCTTACACCTTTTCCAAAGTCAAATTCAAGCACTTTTCAAGCATTTTCAAGGTGCATTTCAAGCATATCAAGCATCTTACAGCTGTTGTAAATTACATATATACACATACTTATCCTCAAATGATTATTTCCCTACCTCACGGATAATATCCACATCTCTTATCATTTTCGAATCATAAATCTATCGATTAGATTTATGAAAAGTAGGGGAGACATGTGGAGATTATCCGGCTGAACAAAACGTGATCCGTCTCTTAAATGTGTCTCAACCACAGACCTTATTTCGAGCTATTTTCCAAAATCCTATGGAGAAATTGCATTGCGTTTTTGTCGAAGGAACCGGAAGAAGTTTACCTCCGGGTTTTAGGACGCGTCACTGTGGTTCTCTATAACCTGGCTGAGCCAATATACATCAATCCGCCATATAACTTTTCAATCAATTATTTATTAACATGTTTCAGGTCCTTAGGTTGGCAGTGAACATAAGGCTCTCCCAGGTTAGGCCAAAGGGTGCATTATATGCACACATATACTGTATAAACTCAAATGTGAATTTTCCTTCACATTGAATCAGCAATCAGAAATTATGCAAATCAAATCAACTTTCAATCAATCTTTGAGCTCCTTGAGTTGAAAAAGCAAACAGAAAACCTGCACAGAACACTGCACTGAATCATTCAAGGTAAGGCTAAACAGCATACGGCCTGTTAGGGAGTGTCTTTCGTTAGCTGTCTCTCCAGATGTCTTTCCTTTTCCTTAGCAGCTCTTCCAAGGCCATTGGGCTTGGAGATGAAGCTTAGTTTTCTTTTTATGCAACTGTGTACTACTTCTACTCCACTACAATTCAGAGGTAAAGGTGTACTTTGACTCCACTACATGTATTTCCCTTTAGTTACTTTACAGATCTGGATGAATGATGTGAAATATAATCAAGTGTTAAATCAGACTGTAGTTCCACCTGGAGTAAATTCACAAGCTACCTGCAAGCTACCCTGCAGTATACACAGTCATTCAAACTAGCTGCACCTTTACCAGCTTTGAGAGCATTTTAATGATCAATCATTATAAAACATATCATATATATTATTCTGAAATGGAGCCTCAGTGACCTTTGAGATATAACCCTCTTTCAATCCCAAGAAAACATTACTCCTCAAAGACACATTCACCTCCGACAGACTTTCACTTGTGGACTATTATCCTGTGGATGAACTCAAGAAACACTATCTCCGCCTACAAGGCCTTCCCCTTCCCTCATTTCCAAAGTGCAACCTCTCCTACTAATAGGTGCAGATAACTTTCACCTCATTAGCCCAACCAAAAGAGTCTCTTTGGGTCCACAGGGGGCACCAATAGCCCTCCAGCTAGGTTCAAATAAAAGATCTCACTCCTCACCCATCAGTGCATCCACGGGAACGCTCCTTCATACCTCAAGGAACTACTCTCCTCACAAACCTCCACACGCAACCTCCATTCTACAACAAACCATCTGCTTCCCCCCCCAGCACCAAACTCCGCACCATGGGGGGGCTTTCTGTTCACCTGTGGAATTCCCTCCCAGACAAACTGAGGACTCCACAGACCACTGACTCCTTTAAGAAGGGCCTAAAAACCTTTGTTTTTTTAAAGCCTTTTATTAAACTTTATAAAAAAAAAAAAAGAAGTATATGATATATGTAGCACTTTGAGATGACTTTTAGCAATGAAAGGTGCTTTACAAATAAAATGCATTATTATTATTCTTATTCTTATCATTAGGTTGGACACTCCAAGGGCCCCCCCTATTCAGGAGCCATCGGATGCCCCCCAGAGTCTCTTCACTCCAACTGGAACCCCCGATGCCGAACTCAGTCGTCAGGTGGAAAAAACTATGGCAGATAGGTGTCCTCCCCTTTCAGAAAGAGCAAGGCATCACCAGATCCAAGCGCCCCTCCAGTCCAGTGGACCCCCTTCCAGCAGCTCATTGACCGGCTCCTGCGTCCCACTCTCAGTATGCAGATATGACTACATTGTTCAAAGTGAGATGTTGGGGCAGGTAAAGGTGGGGCTCCAAGCTGACCTGAAGAAGAGTGAGTTGGGGTATCTGGGGTCGATGGAGTCTCCTCTTTGGTGCCGGGATGGGTGGGAGGTGGTGGTAGGTAGCAGCAGGAGTATGTGCAACACATCTTTCTTCTTAAGAAAAGCTTTAAGTACAATTGATTGTTTTTGTTCATTTAATATTGAGGAGAGCCAACAGGAAGTCTCTCATCAGCTGCAGCCTTCTTCTTTATTTTCCAAAATGCCTCCACGCTCCTCTTTACGTCTCAAACTCGCCCTGTGATGAATAAACTGAGAACAAATAAAACCTGAGCTTACAGATTTGTCTGGAACACCAGAAAAACGTGTTGAAACCTCAATAAATAAACTTCACACGGTACGACCTCTCACCTTTCTGTGTGTCTTCACTTCCTGTCACCTGAGAGGAGAAGGAGAGAGAGAGAGAGAATGCTGATGATAATAAAACAAAGAGAAACAGCCAGAATGATGAAGAGAGAAACAAGAGTGTTGTTTTCCTCTGAGGTCACGCTCCATTAAAGAGTTTACTATCTTGATGAATGGAGGATATGATTTCAGTACTCACAGGTCTTCTGGATCGTGGCTCTGATCATCTTAAATTCTCTGATCCTGTAGAGACGAACACAATCCAACAGTTTGAGATCCAGTTTAAAATAAGTGTTTGTTCTTTGGGTCAGCTTCAGAGTCCTGATCTCATGCTTTACATCCCATCATATCTTCTCTGCAAACACTACGACTGCCACAGCTCTCAGCTGCATGACAGGAAGTAACCAGTCATTGGTCTAGAACAGGGGGGTCCAAACTTTTTTCACCGAGGGCCACATACAGAAAAATATATAAAGGTCTGGGCCGCTCTCTAGAGGCATGTTGCCTCATAAGTTAAGTTATAAGTCAGGAAACTCAATCAAATGAAGGTAAAGGATGCTTGTTACTTGAGGATGCTTTAAGAAACAAAACAGCTCACAGCTCTCCAGAGGGTTTACTTTATTCTGTTAGCAGCTCATTCCTTTAAACAGGAGCTTCAGATTGATTATAATTACAGGAAATATGAAGGGTTTATTTCACGCTTGTTATAACAATAAGTTATTGGGCTTTTTTCTTATCAAGTTAGATTTGTTAGGAAATGTTTTCAGCTTTAATTGACTGAATTTATTTTAAAGGTGGGATTATTAACACATGAATACTACTGTGTAATATACGTGTACATATATATTTAAGAAGTACAATACAAGACAAGCAGAAGTTTCCTTTGTGGGCCATATTCCATTATACTTTCAGAATTTGCTGAGGGCCGATTCCGAGGGCCGCATTTGGCCCCCGGGCCGCAGTTTGGACACCCCTGGGCTAGAAACTAAAAACATCCCATAAGAACAGACTACCTTTCGCACTCTTCTGTAAAACCCCATATGTCTGTTAGAGAGTTGATTACTAAAGTGTGGCTTTGCATGTTCAGCTGGCCTTCTATAGTTGATGGAAGAATGAAAGAGCCTGCAGTCAGTGGGTAACATCACTGATCTGTTTCCCCAGTGAGAGAAACACCTCCCTGTGGTTCATACAATACTGCTGAACCAGCAGAGACCCCTTACTGACCTGAGAGTCTCCAGTCTGCAGTCTGGACTCTCCAGAAGATCTCTCAGCAGCTTCTCTGAATCCTGCAGAGCGTTGAAACTCAGGTCCAGCTCTCTCAGATGGATGTTGGACTTCAGAGCTGAGGCCAGAGCAGAACAGCTGATCTCTGACAAACTGCAGTTAATCAGTCTGAATAAAGAAAACATGATGAGGATACAAATCAGTTTATAATCAGATGTGTTATTCAACATTGAAATGAATGGGAACAGAAACATATCTTCTTCAGAAAGTCAACTTTATCCTGTAAAACTAATATTACTTCAGATGAACTTTATTCAGACGTTATCATTTACTAAAAATTAAAAACATAGATTTACTTTTTACAACTAACATCTATTAAAGTTCCTTTAAGAATCAGTCAACATTTATCTCTGCAGTTCTTACTTTAGTACCTACAAATGAAAGTATGAATAAAAGAACATTTACAACTTTATAGATGTAAGTTAATTATGTAGAAGAATCAGGTTGAATAACTAATGAACATGAGATCTCCAGCAGTAACAGAGAGTCAGTGAACTGACTTGAGAGTCTTCAGTCTGCAGTCTGGACTCTCCAGAAGAACTCTCAGCAGCTCCACATGTGAATCCTGCAGCTTGTTGACACTCAGGTACAGACCTCTCAGATGAGAGTGGTTGGACT